TCTTGTTAGTTCTCACCCTTACAGTTTTCCGGCTAATTCAGTCGCCCCCTAAGTTATGGGCTATGGCGGTCGGCGGCATGGTCTAGGGTGATGCTCTTCTTGTCGTTAATCTTCGTTTGCTGGTTGGTTGCAATAGTCTGGACCTTAAGGCGCTAATCTAATGGCTGGTGTTGACACAAGTTTGTCTCTTGTTTTGACAGTGTAAACGCGTCTGGTCATCATCAGTTGGTTTGATTCCTGTGATCTGTCCAATTGGCTTGAGTGCTCGTGGCGTCATATCCTAAATAATCCAAACAATTTCCTATTTTAATAGGCGGCGTCTTTGTCCATCGTTGTCGTGGCAGTAGTGATGGAAAAATCTCCTTGATCAGGCGTTTTCAAATATGGGTTGCTAGTCGTTGGGCAAATTTCCATTGTCGACTGACTGTTGAGGGCTGTTGGATTTGTAGCCGCGGCATGCTGGCATGCGCTTTCCCGAGAAGAAAATGATTTGTTGTGAGGGCTTCAACATCATCGGGCGATGATTAAACTGTAGTGATGGGTCTTTCGTTCATGAAGTGTTCATTTTCGCAAATAACGGTGTTGAATGTGTCGTGTCGCCTTTTAGAATCTGGCTTCTTTTGATGGCAGAGAATGCGTCTTATACTAATTTTATGAGTCGTTCCCATACACATCTGCGAAATGAGGAGGATAGGCAGGGCTGAAGGTCTATTTAATCTGATGGTTGGCGTAGAATTTTCGTCTAATATCGGCGTCGAAGTGTCTGTTGTTCTTTTTGTCTGCGGTATTGATAAAGGCGTCGGCTGTTTGGTCCTGGCACATCTCAAGATTTACGGCTCGTGTTGTTAGACTAGTCATTATAACGGTGCTCGAATACAGTATTCGTTTTGTAGAAAATTTCTTGGGTGCTGGAATGGCGAATGCTGGTAGTCTTTGTTGTATTTGTTGTATGTAGAGGTGGTGGTTTCCATCAAGGGTAATTGGGTGTTTTATGCAATACTCCAATTGAGATTTCTCGAGGCGTCCACGTGCTTGCAAGAATCCGTGTTCGTCTAGAAATAGTGAGAGATGTCGAACTCTGCTTGTGGTGTTGATTGGTTTATTTGGTGTCAATGCGTTGAACTCTTGGCTGAAGCTGTCTCATTGTCTGCTTGAAGATAAAATTCTTTGCGTCAATTATGTTGTTGCTCGTAAGTTCGGTGGTCGGGTTTTCGCTGCGGGACTGTAGTTCTTTATCCTGACGGCGCGCATCACGTATGCGGTTGTTCGGAGATTTCTTGTCCATTTGGAGAATCTGCTGTAGTCGATGAAAATTTGTACTGTCGTTTCTGTGGAAGCTTGAAAAGCCGCCATTGGGGTTGTTTCTATTTCATACATGTGTCCGATTTGAGCGTTGAGTACCGAAGTATCCGTTTTGGCGTCGTCTAATTGTAGCTTTGGCCTGTTGCATTCTGGTTCACTCATAAATTGTCGTCCGGTGAACAATCTTGATTTGTTACTGAATTCCGATAGGGGTATTTTACAGGTTCCGTCATCTACTGGGTTTAGGGGTCCTGGGCATTGTGTCCATTGACTCGCTTGGGCGCTTCCCAAAGTTTCTTAACACTGTGAGCCACAAAATTTTTGTCGTTTAGCAGATCCATGTATCCACTGAAGCGCTGTTGTGCTGTCGGTCCGCATATGTGTACAGCTGATGTCAATCCTTCCTTCTTTTCGAATGAACTTTCCGAAGCGAGCACCAAAAAGTGCGGCTTGCAGTTCCAATATAGTTATTGTGTGCTATTTTAGGGGAGCCACTCGAGCTTTACCTAGAACAAATGCTCTGTTGATTTGCTGAGTGGCACTGTTGCTGTACACAAATTAAGCTACTGCTGCTAGGGCGCTGTAGGAGGCATCTGAAAAAACATGAAGAGCAATGATGTCGTAGCTGTATCCAAAGTGGTGTCGAAGTATTTCCACTGTCTGTAGGTGTTTTCTCTCGTTGAGAAGCTCAAAAAGTTCAGGAATCAAGTCTCGTGTAATTTGGTCGTCCCGCTTTTTTCCTTTTCTCCGAATTGCTTGCTGGATAATTCGAAGTCGAATAGTAGTAGGTGCTGGTTTTCCAATTGGGTTAAAGATTGAAGAAACTACGCGAAGTAGGTTCCGTTGTTTCAATTTCTTCTGAGCGAGTTTGTGTAGTTTGACAGTGTTGAAGCTGAGTGTATCGCTACTTACTCTCCATCGCATTCCGAGAGTTCGCTTGAAGAGTTTGGGGTCCTTGATTTCGTCTACGGCGATGGATCTATGTCCTTCTGGTATTGTTTGCAGAATTCTATGATCCCTAGTTATCCACTTCGTCAGGTTGAAGCTTCCTTGTTGTAGTACTTGTCGAAGGTCTTCTATGGTTTTCACTGCGGTGTCGATGTCGTCGGTGGCTTCGAAGAAGTCGACCCTGTGGAAATTCTCGCAAATAACAAGTTCTCGGTTGCGATATGTAACTGCTTGTACTTTCTGTATCAAGGAAGTCATATACATCGAGTTAGATTACAGTGTCGTACTGGACTGTTAAAAGTAGCAGTAGTGAGCTGTTGATCCTTGATATTTTCCTTTGGCTCACAAGATGGTTGACGTGATTCGGTCGCTAGTTTGTATTAAACGTTGGTGGTGTTTGTATTCGTTGTTCATCGTGTAGAGTTGTATGATGATGCTGATTGCATTTGCTGCACGTGTGTTTTGATGGGCAATCTTTCACTTGATGTTGTCCAGGGCAGTTGTAACAAAGTTTCTTCACCGAAACGAGTGTCTTCTTCTCTCACTTGCTGCAGTGTGCGGGATGGTGAATCTGTCCGTCAGTCCGTCAAACGGACTTGGTGGTCGGTTGATGGTCGAGATCCGTTGCCGTGTCGGAGTTTTGGCGCTTTTTGTTGTCGATCGCTCGAGTCCAGGTTCATTTGCTGTGATTGCATGGGTGGTAAGTGATCGCATGTTAATGCAAACTGTCTTATACAGTCTTTGAAGGCGATAAGATTAGGCTGGTGGATGTTCTGGGTGGTGACTTACCGTGTTCAGTGAAGCTGCTGATGGTATTGCAATTTGCTGACGGCAAATTTAACGTATCCCAAGCGTCCGAAACGTTTCAACCATGTTACTGATAAAGGTAGAGAATTCCATGCACGAATCCCTACGATGAGTTGATGACTGGTTGAAGCTCTGTAGTCTGTTAACGAAGTCATTGATAATGATGTCGGTTCGTCCATATCGGCGTAGTTCTTGAAGGGCATCGTTGTACATAGTGCTTTCGCAGAAATATCCAGAAATAGCTTGATTTGCTTTTCCAGTCGTTAAAGTCCGCAGATGAGTCATCTTTTTGGCCTCCGAGATGGGTTGATTGTGGATTTCTGCTTTGGAGAGTCCGAACCACATGCTCAATTTCATGGGATTTTTGACGAAATGCTCGATTTTTACTGGAGGTTTTGTCATGAGAGTGTAGTTCGTTCGCGATTGTCCGTTACTTGATGAAGGAGAATCTGCTGTTAGAATGAACTGCTGTTCTGTAACTGTGTTGAAGCTGAGGCTTGCGTTGGTGGTGTGGTGTTCTGGTAGTTGAAGCGGCGGTCATTTATCGTTGTTGTGATTTCGAAAACTGTCTGTGGGGCCTGTTGCTGAGTATCTCGGCTATCTGAAGAGTTTTGTCCTCTACTGTTTGCTGTGCTGATGATCCGAGCTGATGGCTGCTGCTGGATATTGTTGACGTCTGGCTGGAATCCTAAACTAGTAATGGCTGTTGTTGCGCTGAATCAGCTGTTGTTGTGGAGTTGTTCTGCGGTGGCGGAGTTGTTTCTCCTGGACTTTTTTTGTAGCATCTGTCTAAATTCATCGATGATGTCGTCGTGTTCATTTTGTATATCAGTGAAATGGTTGATGAGATCATCCGCTGTGGCGTTTTCAGTCAGGTGGTCTACAAGGTACCTAGTGGATTCTTCCAAATTGCTGAAAATTTTCTTCATCTCGGTCTCTGAGTCAGCTTTCAGAGGTATTTGTTATATATAAAATGCTTAGTTGTATTTAGTCAGTATCTCTTGAAATAAATCTTCGTTTTCTTCTAGCTATATTGTAGCTCATATTGATGTCATTGATGGCTTTTCTTACTCGTCTGATGAGGCGCTCTAGTTGGGCGATAAGAAGATTTCTCTGGGGTAGAGTGGTTTTTTTGGGCGTGGCTAGCTTGTCGTAGATGTCATATTCAGTCGTAGTTTAGACCTACTTTGTTAGTTCCTATCCTAGGTAGCTAGACCTAAACTTGAAAGGAACGAAGCGAAAAGAACAATGGTGCGGTAAAAATTTTTTCAAATAAGTATAACGAAATAAAATAAGCAAATGAAAGTTACAAATGATTGATAGTAGTTCGTTCCGATTATTAAACAGGCGGAAAATAAACCAAACGTTAAGCTAACGTCACTTTAACAAAGTTAGGCTCTTTGGGTCCGAATTGTTAAACCGTATTTCGTATTTTTTTTCTATCCTCAACAACTGCAAAATGAGTATTCCTTGATTGGCACTAAAGACAAAATTGTGCTTCCAGCTTGGTCAAGAGGTGGAGCAAAGGTGTGCTTTCTGGCAGTTTAGCTGAGTGCCATATAGAAAACGGACATATAATCGTTTCTAGTTTACACCGTGTATTTGAGCTCTTTCTTGCTTTTAACGTTGATTTGATTATAAATTAGTTGGTTGCACTTGTTTGGTAATTCAGTTTTGCATTGTTTCCCAATTTTGTATTTGCTGTGTTCTTGTTTTCATTTTCTTTCCCTCTGACTGCAGATGAAAAGTTGAAGTCAACTAAGATGATTGTCAATTGTCAAAGTGGCATATAACACACAGCAACCGGATTGTTTTCAAGATTTGTTCCTAGCACGACTATTTTCGGCTTTTGAATTTTTAAGCGATGAAGAAAACAAATGTTGAGAATTGTTGTCCAAGGTTACCTAATTTGTTTTAAATAAATAGAAAATTACTCTGTTTAGTTGCACTGGATTTACCCCTAGAGAGCAGCACTCCAGAGGAGAAAGGTGTGAAAGAGGTTCATATGAAGAAGAATTCCAGTGTTAAGTTCCGGATGAATCATCAGTATGGGTTCGAGGAAAACACTGACTCGTATGATTGGGTGGGACTGTACATTGAGAGGGCACTCAAGTTGAAAGACTACTGTGCCTACAAATACGTTTCGAGTTCAGACTGGTCTAAAAACAGAGTGAAGTTTAGCCAGAAAGAGTTCAAGGAGTCCGAAAGATACAGAATCATATACCACAGTGCAAAACTGAAGGCCGCGGTTGGTGTCAGTTGTCTCTTCAAAGCAGTGCCACAGCAGTGACAATGATTAAAAGAAAATACCTGCTACTAAAATTCGTCGGCAGTTTTAATCAGTTCATCCCTTTCTATGTTTTCTTAAATTTGGACTATATAATAAATTATTTTTCCCGTCACAAATAATAAATCAGTTTTTAGTTAGTATTTTATTTGGTGATTTTGATAGCGTTATTCATTTTTTAAATAGATTGTTTTCCACTTGTGTTTTCAACTCGACGTGACTTGAAAAAGGATAGAGACAAGCATCTTCAACTATCAACTAGACTTTATTTCGGTTGGGCGACAATTCGTTGTAAAGTATTCGCAAGTAACGACCGCTTGCTCCGCTGCGCTTACATTTGGACCGAGTGTTATAATGGGCTTGAATCAGTGTTACTCGCTTGATTTACTGTTATAATTATCTTCTGTTACGAATTGCCTTCTCACGTCATTTTTACCATTAAAAACTAGTAGAGTCACTAAATATTTGGTCAGTATGTTTGGTGAACTACTAATGTAAGTTCTGATGTCAGAAAAGCCGAATGACCAGATACTATAGTAGCCAATGAAAATTGACCTTTCAAAAATACCAGCGAGGTCAATTCAAGTTGATAGATTATGAAATTTTTGTGCATTTGTTACTTCTGTAATGAGAAATGCCCTTGCATGATTCGCATTCCTTCGTGAGTATCGCTTGCGCGGTGCAACTGCATTACGACAAAAATTTAAAATTGTCAAAAAATCGAAAACCAGGACAAAGTAAATGAGCCAAATTTTTGTACAAAAAACTGTGTAATAAATCGAAACTTGAATTACGACAACTCTATGCGGTGGTGGTCAATATGCGGTCGAAGCCATCACAGGCGAGCTGGGCTTGCTCATCATTTACACGGCCATTAGTGTTCGTTTCAAGTAATTACAGTGAGGGATGTGGCTGTTCACCGTTTTGTTTAGGGACTGCTTTGTTTGTTAAGTGTCGATGAACGTAGTTCAGAATCGTAAGCATTCCGTGATGATTTTTTATCAGGAAAATTCCTAATATGCTCGAATAACTACAGAAAATGCATTCATACATATTCAAGCAGATAAGAATGCCCTTAGATATAAGTGCACTGTTTGAGTTCAATTCAAATACATTTGCCAAAAGGTAGGCAGATTTTGTTCTATAATTACGAAAGAGGAAATGGCGCGAAAAAACGTTATAGGTTTTAAGTTTCGAAAGTGGAATTTATTTTTAAAGATTTTTCAGCGGAATCAAATATTTACCTGAGTTAGTTTCATCTAGAAAGTGAGTCGCAAATTTTTTTTTGCAGTTCAAAGGGATTGAAGGCCATTTATTTGTTGAAATTTGAAAATTTCGCAAGTTTTTTCCGACTCTTTGCGTTCATTGACTTTTTTGTACCCGTCGGTTGGCTATGTTGTTAAATTAAAACTTGATTTTTTTTTGCCGTTCGACTTTTGATTGTTCATTTCCTGTTTTGAAATGAAGGCAAACTCCACTATTGACCAGTAATAGTGTACAGGTTAACTGAAACGTGATCAACTTCTAGTTTTGAAAGTGAGTTTTAATTTAAAGATTTTCCAGCGGAATTAAAATTTTACCTATTGATCTTGTTTTCTCGAATTCGGTTTATTCTTTCCGAAAAACGCCAGCCTTGAAACATCTAGAAATTCAAATAGTTTTAAGGACATATTTTTTCTTCAAAATTGCTAAAACTGAATTTTTTCAAAAACAAGTCTGTTTTTTTTTCTCTTCCTGCGTTCCTTTAATGTTTTCCATCCTTATGTTGGCTATATTTAAATTGGATGCTGTTGACGATTGGGCTCTGTTGGGGTTCATCTAGGTTTTGTAAGTATTACAGGTGATGTTTAAGGCTCGATGAACGTAGTGAAGACTTAAATAGGTCGTGATATTTTTTGGTTTATTTAGGAAACTAGAAAGTGCTCTAATGAATGATGAAATCATTCATGCGTTTATCCTGTTCACGATTAGTTTTTTAGATTTTCGATAGTTTTTTTTATTTGCTTAGAAGTAAGCAAGTTGCGTGCTCCAAATACGAAAAAGTATAGGTCACAAAAAGTGATCTTCTATTTTCAAAAAGTTTTCAGATTTGCCAGCGGAATGAAGAATTTACCTTTGGAGCCCGTTTTATGAACTTGGGCTAAATTTACCGAAAAGTCAACTATAAATTTTATAGCTAAATATCTATATACGGGACTCAAAAATAGTTTCTAATATATTAAATTGAAGTAACCCGAAAACCCAAAGTTTTCTTTAAATGCTGCTTTGTCGGCGGGAAAATAATGTCTCAAACAGTTTTTCAATAATTGAGAGAAGATTTTTTTTTACTGCTCTCATATTTAATTTTGCAACAATACCTTTTAGAAAATATCGAGGGTGCAAATCAAACCAAAGAATTTGAGCTTGATTGTAGTCAATCAAAAAACGTTTTTTCATGCTCGTTTCATGTAACCAACGTTAATAAACGCTGAAAGCCAAAAAAAGAGTCAGGGGTTGGTGCAATAAGTAATTTGGTTGAAATGATAAGTTGCTAACTTGTCGCTCCTCCTCGGCCTATTCTACGAATCTTTTCTTAACAATGGTATTTTCGCCCGATGCAATGAAATTGGCTGAAACACATAATTTCACAAATGACATCAAACTTCATTTGATTAACTATGGCACTGCATCGCTTAAGTAGTTATAGCAAAGACACTGAAATGGTGATTCGAGGTTATATAACTATCTGAGTCTTTTGGAATCTTCGAAAATAGAAAAGTCAATTTTGCGCAGAAATCCCTTTTTTGATGCGTAAACTGAATTAACAGAGACTCAGATTAGGCGTGTGCCATTATAATGAATGTTTTTTTTTTTTCATTTAGCTGAAAAAAGCGAGGCAAATACAAAAATAGGTGTGAGAATTATCTGTCTGAATGATATCAATGCTAGTTTGCTGATAATTCTAAATCCGACTGATATCCTGTTAGAACTCAGCGATCCATTGTGACCTTGCTATTTTTGTTATATATCAATGACACGCACGCATATGGAAGTTCAATCATTATATTTCATAATATAGTCAATTATTAATATAGTCAAAATGATAGTTTATGGTGAAATAAACTGATTTAATGGTTTCACTGCATTAAACCAGTTTTTTTGTGAGCTAGCTGTTTTTTAAAGAAAGTTTAGTAGCATTACTAAAGCATTTTACGAGTACACCATATTAACAGCTCACGAACTAGGTGTCTTTGATCTCAAGTTTTGATTAGGATTCCTAAATCTTATCCATTTGAACACTTTCCCCAATCGTTTTTTTTCCGCTAAATAGGTATGTCAAGAGGAAATTGAGAGTTCCCACATATGTAACTCCTTTGTGAAAGAATAAAATCAAATCACGATTATAAACCACTGGGGCTTGTAGGTTGTGGTCTTCTACTTAAAATATTGGATAAAATATTGAATGCATGTCGGAAAAAAAATCAGTATATTTTTGTCCATAATTTGGGAGAGAGTTATATACTTGGAAATACTGATTTTGTATATTTCAATAAACAATTCAAAATGACGATCAGCTCGATGGTTCAAGGTTGTCAGAGTGATCCTTGGGCTGGCCTCAAAATCAGACTGCTGATCTCTTTTAATTAACAAGACATAGCTTTTTTTTGTTCATTTCAAAATTTCCAGGAAATTAAGTCTGAACTGGCCTTAGTTACTTGACTACTTCAAAAACATCTTCATTTTTCTAGTTGCAATATTATGCACGCTAGACATCTAGAATGGGCGTTGCTGTCGTTCTTTTTTTATCCCCCTCTATTATAAATTTGATTTTTAAATAAAATTTAGAAACTTTCAAATCGATTTGATAATTCCTTCGATTTGATAAAGTTCTGCTGACATGTTCATTCCTGCTGGCATGATCAATTTCTATAAATTTCAAAAAAAAAAACAAATATATTTGAAAATGTTAATGTTTTCTCGGATTTGTGGTTTTCGTCCCGATTTTTGTTGACTGATTTTCTGTTTTTTTTTCTGAATGCAATTTATATTCACTTTCTTTCCAAAGAGGGGGTGTCTCAATTTTTGATTCAAACATGAATTTTTATATCTGATCAACTTTTGCTCCATATAATTATGTTTTTGTATATTGCTTATCGGTGGTTTATTGCCATTTGATGAACACAGATAATATTTTTAAAATGGGGTGTGATTTTTTTATTTTTTAATTTTTGATTTTTTTTTGATGCTTATGAAAGTTTTTGCTTTCACAGTTTTTCTGGAGATTTTTTAAACCAATTTTCAAACAAGTTTTACCAAAAGAGAGACCGTCTACTTCTCTGTGTGCTTAGATAATCCTCTTGTCTCTTTCTTGCTTCAACGGGCGTTCTACAACCTTCGAAAATTTCAGTGAGAGGGAATTTTCGACCAGTTTTTTTTGTATTATTTTCATTTTCTCAGAAACTACCATAAAAAATCTGAGATTAAGGATTCAATGAAAATAGCATGTTCTAGCAATCTTCCCTGCTCTAGCTTCTGAGCCGAATTTTTGGTAGAAAAGGGGCTTAGGCATCGGAAAAAGTCCACTTTTCTACATTTTGACTGTTTTTTTGATTTTTTTCCTCTTCTGGAAAATTCCCTGTCAAATCTGAGAATAAGAGTTTAAAGAACAGATTGCGAATGTTCTCTGCACAACTATTTTGCCCTATTTTTTGATGATTATGCTTTGAAATTGTGCTCATTTTCTACCAACTGTTTGACTCTTTGGTCGACCCTAGTTTTTTCGCCTCAGTTTCTCAATGTTTGTTGAAGCTGTTTTGGAGCATCACCCGAGAGAAAATTTTGTGCCTTTTCCAAGTAATTTTTTGAAATTGATTTGTCAAAAAAATGAATTGCTTCTTATTTTATTCTAGACTCAGAAGAATGTTAGATTTCTATTTGTTTCTGTTCGCCACATTTGCGCCACATGGTTTCAAGAATTGGATATTACTCGTTCATTTTAACATCATTTGCAGCACTTGGTTTCATAAGTAACAATAAAGGAATGATATTTCACTTAAATTTTTCATTCTTTTTTTGGGAAAGTCGACGTGTACTCCTTAAGAAAGCTGAGCATTCAAAAGTTGAGCTCAATTGAAGTTTGTGGGGTTGCAAACGTGGCATGTGACCTTCAAAAGGTGTTCGCACATGTATAGAAGCTTACAGTTAATTGTGTCCGAACTTTTATCACTTCATTTGAATGTTTGTTCTGTTTGGACAAGTTAATTTTCAAAATTTAATCGTAGAAAGAATTTTTTTCCTATAATGATAGATGACAATTAAAATGCTAATATAGTATTTAATTTTTGTTGAATAAAAACATCAAGAAACACAATTAACTGCAAATCATTGGAGGGTATAGACGAAAGACATAGCTCCTCTTGCACACAACTGCTATACCGAATTTTTCCAAAAGGTTATAAAGGCACAAAAGGATGTGAATAGAAGATCGTTCCAAACAATCGAATGAGTTTTGAATCATTTTAGCTAATTCCCTGAGCGCACACAGTCTAACTCAGTCACGGTACGTCACTTCATACGATGGAAGTTCAGTGCATTTCCACTGTTAAAAGGAGGGCAAACTCCACTATCGAATAGCAAAAGTGTAAAGGTTACGAAAAATGTGATCGTTTTCTAATTTCGAAAATGGAAAATAATTATTAGATTTCCCAGTGAACTAAAAGTTTTGCCTATTGATCCAGTTTTCTCAAATTGGGATAATTTCAACAAAAAGTGTTCATGCTAAATTGTTGTACAACTTTAAAGGGCCTTTAAGGCCATCTTCGAAATTCAAAAGTTTTTTGTCCGTTTTCTTGCGTTCATTACTCTTTTCCAATATTCGATTGGCTATGTTCTGATTTATTATTTTATCTGTCCGCGATTTTATTGCAAAAGAGGATAATCTCCATTTTGACTGGATCGCACCCTTAAAAAGTGAAAGAGGGCTGGTGAACGGATGGATCGCGCCTAATCCTAACCTTGAGAAATTTGTATCCTAACCTTGAAATAAGTGATCCGCTTTCTCTGTAAACATTTATCTTAATTTCTCTTAAAAAGGACTTTTTCATTGTAAATAAACTTTTTATTTCTCTATCAGCCAGAATTTTCAATTAGTTTGTTGAAGTGTTTTGTATTTGTACAAAATGCCCATTAATTAAGGTATTTCATTCACGAATCAAAAAGTTGCTTAATAGTAATTGTTTTTCGTTCGCTTTTTCTTTCTGAGATAAAAATTTGAGTGTTAATTTTTGTGACTACTTTTTATGAAACAATATGGGTATAGCTTTGATCTTTGATATTTTCTGCTGACAAATACTTAAAACACAGAACCGCTTAAAATTGCTCCAAAAAAGGTGAATTTGCGGAATTGGCAACAGTATGTGAGTAATCAGGAACAAATAATAAGACATGCGTATAGTTAAAATAGGCTGTTGCGGAATCCGCAACAGTAAGCGGAATCCGCAAATTGTCTGCGAAATCCGCAAATTATAAGTGGAATCCGCGTTTTGTTTGCGAAGTCCGCTTACATATATCTATATATTTAGAAGCGTTTTAAATTATATATATTTTTTAGTTGCTGATTACCAGCAAGGTGGTCGTAAAATTAGTTAAAGTGAGCACATATCTTGATGTGAACAGTGTATTTTTTTACATTTTTAATCTGAAATTTCAAAAGTTGAAGAAATCGTTGTGGGTTGTATATATTTTTAGCAACTGTTTTTTTTTGCCGAAATATTTCAGTTGAGTTTCAGCTTATTTACTGTCGACTTTTTATTTCGTACGCTTATTTACCATAAGTTTTGTTTCTTGTAATTTTCCCATGTAATTTATAAAATCGATAAGACTCGCGCTTATTTTTTTAATGCGCCAAATTAGCACCATTTTTAATTCTTATAAAAGTTTCAATAAATTGAAACATGAATTTTTTTTCATTTTTTTTATTTTCTAATTTTTTCAAGGTTAACATCGTTTGAAGTTTTCCTTACTGGTTTTTTAGCGCCATGCTGTTCAAACCCTGAGTTTGTTGTATCGATAGTTACGTGAAGCTTCAACTTTTCCTCTATTTCTAATTTTGAGCCACATTTCTATGGAAATCTACAATTTGAGCAGCGAATTATTGTGTCCTCTTTATTGAGTCTCTTGTTTTTTTTTATTTTGAATAAGTTAGAGTGATAAAGTGAATTTTTGTTTTAACTCTTTCTTCCTGCATGGCATTTGCTGGAAGATTTTTAATCCACAGTTTTCTAAAACAATTTTTTTTCCAGTATTAACAAATGTCGTGATAAAGTTCGTGTGGTTTTTCTTTCAAAGAATTGTTCTTAATTGTGTTCAGCCTCAAAATTAAGTTTTCTTGGTTTCACTTATGGCTTTTCAAGTATTACAAAATCACTATGTCCAGGAATCATAAATTTATGAGCCATATAAAAAGGTTAAGCAAACCAGAAAAGATGAATTAGATAGGAAAGCCGTGGCCAAGTGCGTAAAATGCGTGGCCTTTAACACAAAGGCTGGCAATTGAGTTTGAATCCCTTTTTGCTCACTGTTTCAGGGTCCCAGCGTCATCCGCCTCCTCAGGGCCGGTGCAAAGAAAAGAACTAGATCAGAAAATACTTGGCAGTCGGGCAACACATTTAGAAAATTAAAAGCTTGCTTTTTTCGTAAGTTTACCGCTTCCGCATAGGCCCTCTCTGATTTTGTTTGATAATAACACCTTTGAATTTTTAAATTTTTTTTCACTCAGCACGTTTTTGAATTCATCTGTCTTAATCAATTTCATTTGGTGGCATTTTCTATCCACTTTATGAAATCTAATTTTTTGCGGCCTTCAATTTACTATCAGAGGATGTGTTGACTACTTGTCGCAGCCATGTAGATGGGTCAATGGAGAAAGCAAATGCACATAATTTGTAGGTCCGTTGTGCAAATCCATTTGGTTATTTCTTCGTTTTTTTTCTAGGTTATTTAACTCCGATTTGCTTTTTTGTCCTTCTGATTGCGAAGAGAAGCTCTGCGTGTGAGATTTTTCTAATTGAATAATGAACTAAATGAACGTGTTTTTGACTCTTGTAATGCTCGTGATGTTTTTTTTTTGTTCAAGAGAAGTCTTCAAATGCTCTAATAAGTAGAAGTGTATTCATACATTTCAATGCATTTATAAATGCCCTGGGGTCTATATGCACCTTTTCAAATTCACTTGCCAAAAGGTAGGCGAAATTTTCTTTTCAATTAAGAAAGAGGAAATGGCGCGAAAAAAACCTGATCGAATTGTAGTTTTGAAAGTGGAATTTAATTTGTAGTTTCCTAGCGGAACGAAAAATTTACCTAACACTCCAATTTCTCAAATTGGGAAAATTTTATCATAAAAATGCCAATCCTTAACTGTTCTTGAAATTCAAAGATTTTTTAGCTCGTATTTTTGTTTCTCGAGTTAAGTCAGTTTGATTTCTGATTCTTAGCGTTCATTGACTTTTTTCAACTGTCTGTTTGCTATATTGTCAAACTATCTTTAAAAGAATGAAAGCAGAGAAATAAAAACAATTTCGAGCAAATAGGTTTTCCACGATTGCTTCAGGAATGCTACAGCCGCTGAATAGGACTACGGAGCATTAAGCTTTTAAAATTAAAATCGAGGTTTTTTCTGCGTCTAATAGTTTCCTGACACCTTTGGCACAAAAATTAAAACACAGCTTAATTGATCATTTTGAAAGATAGCTGGAGATCAAACTTCAATTTCTTTGACTGAAGCTGCTGCATTCAAATTGGGTAGATGTTGTCAACATGTATAAAACGCTGTTTGAAATGATTTTAAGCTGACTTTTTTTCTCTTTTTTCGACTTAATTGAAATGAAAGTCACAGATTTCTGATGACCTTTAGTCATCATGGTTTATCTAATCAAGCCCTTTAAAGCGTTTTCAAAAGTTTGACTTATCAGCAACGATTGAACGTTCGTTTGGTTCAACAATCCTAACTTGACAACCCATTGAGCACAAAGCAGACATTCATGTGAGGTCCTGAAATATTTAAGCATTTTTCAAGTTCTTAGTTTAGATTGTTTTACACGTTTACTAACACTGTAGGTGCTTTTACCAACACTGGGTGTATCTTTTTGATGTTACTCCAGTGAGTAAATCCTCGATATCTTCAATCATCGTTACATTAGTAACATTGTTGACTATTAATTCCATGTTTAAGTCAATGGTAAATCTTTGAATAATAAGAACAAAGCAGAGTTGCCCTATTGAGGAGTTTAGCGATTGATTTTAGTTAGATCTGACCGGCTTCATTTCTGCTCATGGGAGACTTTGCCTCATTGCGCCACAAGTTCGATGAGTTGTTCGAAGATGTTTCGGATGGATCGCCTTTATATTTTGTAAAGGCACCTGGTAGACTGAGTATACTGGGCGAACACATAGACTACAGTGGGTACGGAGTGTTGGCATTTGCCATTGAGCAGGAAATATCCGTTGTCTCTAGAGTGAACAGCCTGAATGTTCTTCGAATCCGCAATTTAGATGCAAACTTCAGCGAACGAGACGTCCGTTGCGCAGACCTGTCTATTGACCCTAAAAATATACAGTGGACTGACTATGTGCTTTGCGGGTTTCGTGGAGTTGCAGAGATTATAAGCAAAGATAATAACAATGGCGACCATTTGATGAGCAGTACTCAAGGAGTCGATTTATTGGTTTCTGGCAGGGTTCCTAAATCTGCAGGACTATCCAGCAGTAGTGCTTTAGTGTGTGCTTCCGCCCTTGCTTTCGCCAGCTGTTTTGGAAAAATGGATATTTCCAGGACGTTTTTGGCAGATGTTTGCGCCAAATGTGAAAGATACGTGGGTACCCAAGGCGGAGGATTAGACCAAGCAACTTGTCTCCTCTCTGAAAAAGGAAAAGCTCTTGCAATTGAGTTTAACCCGCTTAAATCTGAATGTGTCTCGTTGCCAGATGGTGCATGTTTTGTCGTCATGAACACATTAGTAGCGAAGAGCAAGGCAATTTCTCCCGAGTATAATGATCGCGTTATGGAATGCAAGTTGGCCGCTTCAATCATTGCCAAATTGAAAATGGGCGTTGGTTTAGAATCTTGTTCTTTCCTCACACTCGGAGAAGCTCATAGGAAATTGGACGTATCACTTGATGAAATGGTGAACGTAGCCGAAAATTGCCTGCAAAAAAGAAGCTATTCAAGAGAGGAGATTGGGGAGTTATTAGACATGCCTTGGAATGAGATTGCATCACAATTTCCAAATTTTAACAAGAATTTGAAGGAATTCAAGTTGAAACAAAGGGCAATTCACGTTTACAATGAAGCGAAAAGAACAACTGAATGCATCAACTTATGCAAAAATGATGACCGAAAAATGACGTGTGAAGAAAAGCTGAAAAGAATTGGGACTTTGATGAACGAGTGCCACACAAGTTGCAGTCAGCTGTTCGAATGCAGTTGCGATGAGCTGGATCTGCTGGTCAAAGTGGGACTGGCAGCGGGTGCATACGGAGTTCAACTCTGTGGCGCAGGGTGGGGAGGCTGTGCCGTTGCGTTAGTTCCTCTGGACTCAGTTGGTGAATTCCTAAGTGAGGTGAAATGTAAATACTACGACGTCGATGAATATCGGTCAGCTCAATTTGATCACAACTCCATGTTTGTGACATCTCCATCTGACGGTGCTTCAGTTCTCAAATGCATATCTTAGACTGAACATACAGCGTTATCAAATCGGGTAATCGGGATATATACTTGGTAGGTTAACAACTTTTTTTGACAAAATCACTTGAATCTTTTGATTGCTTTGCTCATAATAAAATCAAAGTTCTTAGCTTCTGCGAAAGACTTGGTACGATTGTAACCACTACGGCTAGGATGGCAATGGCCTTTGGCTGAATCTGGCCAAGACTTGTTTTTTTTGTAACACGATATATTCCGTTTCAAAAGATTGTCAGCTTACTATTTGTCTGATGTTTTGTCGGCTTAGTTGCGACTCTCTCTTGTCTTCAATTGTTTTTATTGTTATTGAAGGTGTTTTTGATTAATTCCAGTAATTTGTAAGTTGATACAAATTCTTCATTTTTTTGTTAAAAAGTTTATTTAAGCCTCAATTGTTCGGCTGATGTTTTATCGGCTTAGCGACCTATCTTTGGGTAGTTTCAAGGGAAACAGAGAGGAGCGAAAAATTTATAAACTTTTTTTTCGGATCAACTTTTGTCGGCTTAGTTGCAGCTCAGTAATTGTTTCTGAATACTTAATTTACGCTAGCGATTGTTTCTAGACGTGCTTTCCCAAAATTTACTTTTCAGACAAAATATGATCGTTTTTTTCTTTTGTTTCAATTTTTTTCAGACGAAATTTTGTAGTTCTTATTATTTTTGTGTTTCAATTTTTCCGACCTAGTGGCTTTCCTTTCATTTTCTCTTTTTGCAGGCTGGGACCACTTTGACTCCGGGACCAGGGTTTTTTGCTACCAGAATTTTCCTTGTGAATCATCACCGATAACAAATTCCTCTCGAGCGTTCCACTAACTCACATCCTCTGTGGTCACCGATTGATGCAAAATTATGTTTGATGCTCTTCTGGGAACAAAATTGCGCTTGTTGATCACTTTTCAATTCCGAATCCTTATTGTTGCGAACATGAGGAGGAACTTTGTATTCGAGTGTTTTAGTTTTTTTCTTTTTTAGCTCAAAATCAGAGAAATAAATAACCATTGGATTGGTTTGAGTGATATATCATGTGACAGCCCTTTCATTCGTGATTCGAACGACATTTGAAAGTTTCCGAAAAATTTTCCCTGTGTTGACAATATCTGTTTGAAGTGTTTGATTTTTCGTCTATTTTCGAGCTAGTAAAGTGATCGAGCAACTATCGTTATATATGAAAGTTAGCAATTTAGGCTCATGAGCTTGATGTTACTACGAGAATTTACTTTTAGAAGCTTTAGCACTTTTTTAAAAATATTTGAAATTTTAAGTGCAAAAAATAAAGAAGCTTTAGCAAACTTTAAAAAATTTTGAAGTTCATTGTGGTCGTTTATGCCTCATTTACTACTTTTGTACGCGCTAGTATATTTCTATTATCACGCGACGTTTAAGAAAAGACACTATCTTGAAATAAACAAGAGGAAACTTTTTTTCTGAGAATTTGGTCAGAATATTCTATGCTACTTGCGCAGCAACCGGCTAATATTGTCTTTTTTTTGGCTATTGTTTTGATAGTCTTCTATTCGGACTAACCACTTTGACGGAGTTTTAAAAATTAAGTATCTTTGTTATCAAATTTGAGAAGATATTTTTTCAAGTGCGAAGATTTTTCTAGAAATTTTGCATGTATGAATTTTGCCATTTTGGGATAATTATATCGCGCTAGTTCGCAATTTTTTGTTAACGCTTAGTGGGCGCTGCTATTCAAATCTTTCCTAATTGAAGTGAGACAACTTGATTGATGCAAACGAAAATAAGTTATCCCAATGTCGAGAAAAATTGATCTATGTTGTTTTTTCTCAGTTTAACTCAATTTTGGTGACGCTCATTTAAATTCTTTGAATTCTATATCGATCACTATCGATTGATGTTTTTTATTGCAGGTGATGTGATGCTCGCATTTGCCTTTTTTGCCGATGTTATCGGTCTAGGCTTAGGCACGAGGTTCTTGGAGTCATGGCACTAGTTGGTTTAAGAAGTTGAATACTACTCTTTTAGTATATTTCAACTAATAAAGGTAGAAGCGAGTTACATTTCTGTGTTTTTTGATCTCAGCCAATCAATCATCTGTCGCAATATCTGTTAATTGAAAATTCATTTGGTGTTTTGTTTTCTGAAGTTATTTCAAAATCAGTCACAGTCATTTGAAAATATCGCAAAATGTTTTAAGAGTCGATGAACGCAGTGAAAACTATTTTACAGGTCTCGATGCTAATAACATGGCTACAAATTAAATACATTCCTTCATCCTCGGCATAATTTTATAAAAATGAAAATTTCATCTTGATTCATCTTTGACACAGTGTAAATAGGAGCTAGCTCACTTGTGGATACTGAAGTTATGAAGAGGCGATCGGAAAACGATTGAAAAATGAATTTATGCTCATATTTTATTGACGAGATGAGCTAAAGGATAAAGGTCGAACATCTAGCCCACGCATTCTTGAGTTAAAGATAGCCGAAACCAAACAAAATAGTGGAAAAATCAAAGCCTTAGGAAACGAAGTATTTGGAATAAAAACAAAAAAAAACACTACAAATCAGAGTTAATCATCTCCCCCTCGTGCCTAATATTAGTACGAAACCTATGAATACAAAGAAAAGTACAAAGTTCCCAGAACTCATTTACCCATCGAGCATTAATTACTTCCACTTAAAACAGTGCCTTTTGACCGGAACTTATATACTGAATCTTAACTGACATTCATTTGACTGCTTTGAGATGGCTCACGCGCAATTCGCAATCGAACTCTTTGGAAGATACGAAAAGAGGACCTAGGGCAATTTGAACAATTGTTTCAAGGGTACATCGGAGTTGCAGGCAAACTTGTACCCCAACAAGCAAACTTCTGTAACCTTCAATAACATCTGCGAGCGACCGAAGCAAATGTGCCCGCCAGCCTTACAGCTTTGAGGGACCATTTTTGCAACCCGCGCCAACAGGAAGTGCACGTTTTTTAACTCAAACAGCTTCGGTGTTACCCGAAAGAAGATACACCAGAAAATTATCTGATGAATTTGACAAAAAAGGCTTAGACAGCCTACCCAACGCCTGATCTACTCACCAGCAGTAGCGCCAACAGATAAAGCAGCAGGTAATGCGACGATAGCGCGCTTCATCAGAGAAACGGTAAAGAGACAGAAAAGTCTCGACGCCGCCGTTAGTGATAATCAAAGTGACCAAATTAAATGGTTATTTATTAAAGAAGTGCCATGCTGGCTTCAATCTAAATGATTGAAACAGCGACCAGCAAGTACTGTGTAGCCTTGCATAAAAACAGGTGACCATCAGCGAAGTGATTCGAAATGTGGACTACCCATAGGATGGTTTCAACAAAATGAGCTAAATGTTCTCAAAAATTTTGATCAGCGCCCTTATTAAGCTGTCCATTACTCCGGAAGGGGTAGAGAAACAGCTGAACAAAGTAAACTTGACATCACATGAACCATCGTCGGCATCTCAAAATCATGGCACCTCACAGAATCAAAAACATAAAGATGTTTCTAGTACTGCATTCCGAAAAGCACAATTTGAAGGTGGTTATCTTCAAAACTATAAAACAAACCAAAATATCGGATGAGGACCAGCAAGAGGAGGTACAGGCGGACAGATCCAGAGTAATTGGCAACCATGGTTCATGGGTGGAAACAATTGCCAGGGATTCTAAGGAACCCAAATTGCAATGAGACTTCCTCACAAATTTGAGAATCAACACTACCACCAAATGCAGCAAATATAACAGTACTCCCAAATGCAACAATTACCTCAAATGCCGCAGTGCCCTCAACGCAAAAGAACCGGCACAACCAAATCAGCAGCAGCAGGCTATGCGTATGCTAACGGCCTGGTACCCCTCATACCAACAGCAATCTGTACAATACGGGATGCAGTAGGTAGAGACACAGAATCCCAATGGAACATTCGATCCAATGTTACACGCAGCAGAAAAGTTTTGCGACGTTTATGGAATTTTTAATCACACAGCAAGCCATGCTGGAGATGAAACCATGAGGACAAAAACAAGTTTCTCTTACTAAACGGATCCAAAAATTTTGTTGAGGCCACTAAGACTCATTCAAAAACACTAAATCGCAAATAATCCACTCAGTCAAATCAAGTAAATCATTTAAATTGCTATCATCAACTGAAATACATGAGCATGAAAAAATCAATCTGTCTGCAGTAGTTTTTGCGGAAGGTACCGTCCTAATGCGAACGTCTTCCAAATTTTTGAAGATGTAAAAGCTGAAAAAAAACTGTTTCGCCCCTCTCAATATAGTCAAAAGAAAAATTTTTCGAATGTTGTATTAAATCAGGTCTACAGCTTTCCCGAGTAAATGTGAATTAGGAACCCAAAGATTTAAATTTGTGGGCAATATAGTAACACCAAAAAGAGTGTCCCCAAAAAGCAAAAATTTTAGCCTTTAGTAGAATCAAAATGTCTCAAGATAAAGCAAGTAAGACTAACTGATTTCGTGGAACTTAATGTCTAGCTTGGGTGACAAACTCATACCGTTCTATCGGCTTCTGAAAAAATAGACTTTGAAATAACTGACTAGCACCACAAGAGTCATGAAGTGCTAAAAAGACCAAATACAAGCAACCATTTTGCACAATCCCGAACTGCAATATTCGATTCTTTGCGATGCCAGCTACCACGGGATTGGGTTTGTGCTTATGGTCAAAGACTGCGTCACAAACAATAACGGCGGCAAAGTGAAGACATTTAAACCACTATCCTTGAGATCTCGCCTGTTTAGCAGAGCGCAACTAAATTTTTCTATCCACTACGGAGTTTTTATCCTCTCATTTCGCACTTGATCACTTTTCGCACTACATTTGGGGATCATGCAAGTCACTGATCGTTAAACTTGTGACAGAAGTCTTACTCAGTTCTTCCAGGCAAAGACGATACCAATTTCTGTGTGGAACTTCCTAGATCGCGTACTTTCCTTCAACATTATAATTGTTCGCATAATCCTGGAACATATAACTTTTTGTCCAGAATGCAAACGGACCAATCCGCATCGCTGTCGTTGAAATTGACAGACAAATTACCAGTTAGAGAAATTTATATAGACTCAAAAGCATGAGTACCTGATGCTTCTCGCAACCTAGTTCAAAAAGTTGGAGATGCATTCTCTGAAATTGAGCAAATCGATGAAGCACTCATCGCAAACTTGCATCGATTAGGACAAGGCATACTTAGAAAAGCGAAACGATACTGGACAATGCGACTCTCTGAAGCCGAAATGATGTGTACACCTGAGAATGACAGTTTTGAATGTAGTAGAAAATCCAGACCCTGCAGAACTCTGCAACGACTTGAGTTATAATAACAAGCCACTTGAGAAGAATGTGGACAACAGCAGGATCCAGATATTGTACAGACATTTAGACCGTTAAAAAGTGAATGCAAGTGGAGAAAAATCAAACTTATGAAAATAGTCGTCGAAGAAAGTGTGCAAAACAGTTAAATCGACTAAGTCAAATACAAACAAAATTGCCTATCGAAAAACTGAAAAGAGCCATCTACCGAATCCAACGTTTGCCGACAGGAGGACACATAGTGATGACAAGAATGACTGAAGATTTATTTACCCTGGCTCACAGAGTTGCTAGTAAACACCATGAAAAATTGCTTGACATGCCTCCTATTTAAAATGCGTCTGGCAAGTACCTTACTCCACCTCGGAGCTTCGACGAGGATTTTCAAATTGAATACCGACGCACAATGGTCAGGTTGAAACAGATATGTACCACATGTGACATTCTTCCATAATACATTGTACTATTCGTCGATTGGATGTTGTCCCAGTACAATTTTTCATGGACGAGAACTCACCAAACCTCTCGTTTCAAGTTTTCCACCAAAACACTGGAAACAGCCAGCAAAGGCTGAAGTGGACTCTGTAACGGCTTAAAAGACGCAATGTTTGAAACATTTAAAGAGACGAAAAAAAACATTGTCGCTTGATACCAGCGATACCGAGAATTTTATGGCCAAAAAGTATGAGCACAATCACAAACGCTCCATTCATTCTGCTTGCTTCTTAATCCGCTCCCACTAATCCGTCAGATAGCAGAAACAATTCGCTGCAAATATGGATTTCTCTGTATAGAGTCGAAAGAGTTCTACTAAATAGTAACTACATATTTAGAAAAATTGGAACTAAGTACAAGCAAGGTGTTCATCGAATTCGACTTCGTCCAATGGACTTCTGCACCAACCAGAAGACATTAAACCGATCGACCCGACAAACATCGAAATCGATCCATCATTAGGCGAATGCCGAAGCGAGCCAGGATTGTTCGATGATTACTTGCCGACGCGCCTCGCTCGAATATATTCAACCGCTGACAAATGACGACGCAGGCTGCATCATATTCTTGTAAACATCAGACTGTGGAACTCAGTTAATTAACAAGTATATAAAATAAGACCAGACCTCAACAGTTGTGATTAATTATCAGCAAAACGAATATCTGTTATTTTTATGGATTCATTGTCACACTTGTTTTCAAAATTACCAGAACTATCGGGGCTGCCGTATTTTGATTCCAAAACGTTCGCAGGAGTAAATTTTTTCCGAGATGTCAAAGCAAAGCTATTCGATAGTCCTCACCTGAAAAAAATGAGGCAAAAGTCGCACAAATTATGAGGCTCCTCAAACCAACTTTAGCGGATAAAATGGAATGTCTTTAGTGCCCACGATAGTAACAGCATCGGACAAAAAGAATTTCCAGCAACAAGGAACACAGATCCGAGAGAAATATATAGTGCTAGCCCATGTCGACAGGGAAGCTCGCGCGCCGGACATGCCTTCGAGACGATTATCATTCTGCTCTTCAGTCGGCATTGGAAATGACCGACAACAAGAAAAGGAACAAGCATTTTACTATCAGAACGAATTGTTCTATCTCTTGCAGTTGAAACTGAATTCACCCCAATTGATTCATTAAAACGACTGACTTTTCTCTTGACTGACAACGTGGCTCGATAATACCATTAAGAAGAAGTTATTTGCCCAATTCCGAAAAACAGCCACTTGTTTGATGCTTCACTTTGCTTTGCATCACTTTTTTTGTCTAGCAGTTATTAAAGGCGATCTAAATTTTAGTGACAATTTATAATTCAAATTTTAGATCTTAAATGAGTTGTAAACTCAGTTTTTAAAATCTTAAGTGACATAAATACGCGTATATCCGCGTTCCGCATTTTTTGGTTTTTTTTACGTACACAACTATTTCCAGTTTTTGAACTTCAAATGATTTAGTAGAAAAACTTCAACAAATTCAAATAAGTAGCTAGTTCCATTGAGTGTCCAAAGTTTGAGTATCCTAGTGGATCTAAATAACTTAGTAAACCTCGCTAAATTAAGAATTGAGTTTCTTTGAAAATACAGTAACTTAAATTTGAAATGTTGGCGGTACAGATATCATCAAAACTGGTCGCAGCATGGCTAAAAGCCATGCTGATAAAAATTGGTATAATTGCTATAAAAACATACCTTCATCCTTATCTATCAAGTTTTTAAACATGATAGTCCAAATAGCTAAGTTAACCAGCATGAATTATTGCCAAATGGCATTGAAATGGTTTTCTTGATTTATTATTGACACAGTGTAAAATACGGCTAGCTCACTTGTGGAGACTAGAGTTATAAAGAGGTGACCAGAAAACCATTGAAGTATAAATTGATGCTGACATTTTATCGAGGTGATCAACTGAAATATAAATTTTGAACATCTTGACCAAACGTCCTTAAGTTGAATATAGCCTAAACCCGCTCGCGCAAATAACATTTAATTATATAGGAACATCAACAAAACAATATGCCAGTAACTGTGAAACTTATTTATTTTGAGCAGATTCTCTTTTGATTTCTTCTTTAGTTCAGTTGAATTCCTTTGTTGAAAGGAAGCTCAACTCCACTATCAAACAGATGAAGTGTAAAGGTCACAAAAAACTTGATCGACTTCTTATTTCGGAAATGGAATTTGATTATAAATTTTCCTCATGGGTTATTTGTCTCAAAAAAGAATCAATCAGAAGTTTTTCTTGAAATGTACAGAGCTTTCAGACCGTATGTTTGTTTTGAAATTCGTAAGTTTTTTTTTGAAAAAGTACGTGTTGTTTCCCTCCGTTTCATTGACTCTTTTTCAACTGTCTGTTGGCCATGTTTTTACGTATTTAGTACAGGGGATTAGCAAGTGTTACAAAAGTTTGATTTCTGTCTTAAATTGTCTTTTTTTTGCATATTAGTGGTTGATGTTAATTATATGTTATAAATATAAAGCAATGTAGAGTTTGATCTAGAATTTGGTGCTGTAGTGCAGTATTTAAAAAAATTTGTTTACCCAGTAAAGGCTATCAATATTAATGTTTAACAAAAAAATTCTAGTTTTAACTGTTAATTAGTAGCACAGAATGATCCGATCACAGTCATTTAAGCGAAAGAGAGCAAAAGAGACGAAAAATTCTGTGCAATTACGCTTTTAATAAGTTTCGAGTTGGATAGCTAATACCTTCCTACACAAACACTTAGTTGGTATCGTTCCCTGTGATTTTGCTGTACGGCTTTTTACACTAAAAACTTTTTACCGTGCCACAATTTTTCACCCTGACTGCAAGTTTCACAGTTACTTTGAAATTTTTCAGTCGTTTGTTATAAATGATATTGCGTATGTTGAAGAAGCAGCCTACTTTAGTTTCGAAGAAAGGGGCGCTCTTTGTTTTTTTTGAATTAGTTTTAATAACAAAATAGGTTAACGTATTTATCTCGATGAGAGTTGACTCTAACCACATTTTGTCCTGTCGCAATTCAAAGTTAAACAAGTGAAGATGTGTAATATTTCAAACAAATGCTAAATTTTCCGTTATTAAAAGATTTCTAAACAAAGTTTTCCGGACTTCAAAGGAAAAACCTAACCGGAGAAGAATGAAGTCAATAAATTTGAAGCAAAAGAAACTTCAAAAAAAAGATATGGAATGATTTTTTACAGTAAGAAATCACTCAGCACGTCAAAAAACAACAAAAGCTTGGCAATGTAGCATCTCAAGAGTCAATAATAATAAAAGGAACTGTTTGTCTTTTTCACTGTTTGGCCTCTAGGAGTTAATTATTTCGCGTTGAAATTACTTCAATTTGAGCCGTCGGGAGGCTTCAGAAGAGTTGTAATTTAACTAGAAACCCCGAACGTTTTTTTGTTATTCAGTGATTTTGATGAAGATATATCCGCTTGAAGTTCACAAAATGAACAGTTTCTACTCATAAGGTGGCGAATTAATTTGGAGGAGACGCATGAAGATTTGTTGAATATCGGGGTAGAATGATTTGGTTCAAACTGCATGGCTTAAAAGTTATGAGGTATGATGAGGTCACAAAATGAGTTGAAATGAGTTGAATTCAGGCGCGGATTTAGGAATTTCTCGAGGGGAGGCGGTTTTTCAAAAAGATTTTGAAAATTTTGACGACCTTTTTTTGGGTCGACCAAATTGATTTTCTGAGCTCTCCCAAACCACTATAAAGACCCTGTATTGGCCAAAATTTCTGCGCCGCAGGCAAGATTTTAAAAAACAGGCCAAAAATAGCGTTTTTGGGCACTTTTTGGAAAATTTCGACTCCACCCTCAAAATTTGTATAGATTGGCGCCAAAGGCGCCTTTAGAAAAAATTGAAGTCCAGTTAGCCAAAAATGGATATCTCACAACAGTACAAAGGGGGGACCCTTTGGGTCGGCAGGGGCTCGAATCCCTGAGGGGGGGGGGGGGGCGTCCGCCCCCTCCCCCTAAATCCGCTACTGGTTGAATTACAATAAAGTATGGAAGAATCGAGTGTAGTGACCTTCGCTCTCAATTGGTCTGAGCGAAAACTTCAAACCGCTTTTTTCCCGACATAAGGAAAAAAGGTTTGAAAAATCATTTGAAAATTTTGAATTATCGTTCTTATCATGTCTGAAGCGGCTTCGATAAATCGGGGCTTTGTTGATAAATCTTTAAAAGCCCGGATTCTCAAACCCCCAATCTGACGTTTGTTTACAGTGCCTTTTTTATGTTGAAATAAGACCTGAATCTTAAATGATTGGAATAAAAAGCACATCAAATTTCTATAAAGTTTCCAGTTTCAGGTTTGAGTATTTGTTTTTTGTTATTTCTATGGCGGATACTGTCAGCAAGGAAGAGTTGGATCCCTATTATGAGCAGATTCGCCGCCTGCCTGTGAAGTGTTCGACTACCATCCGTTTTTTCGAAAGAGAGAGTGGGCTCATCACAGTGTATGACAGTGACGCGGAGCTACTGGCACAGAAATTTTTCCGCTCCAATGGGGTGGTTAAGAAGTGGGGCAGTAGAAATGTGATTTACATCAACCTCAGTCTGAACAACTTCGAGAGTGTACTGAGAGAGGCTCTGCTTTCTTGGCACTACAGGTACGCCTTGTGACTCATGCTCATCAACATTCGCGAAAGAAAGCATGTTTCGATAGTTTTTGTTCCAGCATTGAACATGGGGAGTAACTTTGTATTCGGGTGTTTTAATTTTTTTCTTTGTGTTTTCCACGCACAATCAGGTACCACAAATAATCATCGGACTGGGTTGAGTGATATATCATATTAAAGTCTTTACAATCGTGATTCTAACCAGATTAAAAAATTTCAAAATTTTTTCTCGGTGTCGAGAAAATCCGGTTTGAAATTTTTGGTTTTTCGTCCTATTTCGAATTGTCTTATTTTAGTTGCCTAAAAGCTTACACTAGCTTGTTTTAGAAATGTAAAATTTTAGTTTTTACCTGAGTAGCATTGGTTTTCTTCGAGTATTTTAGCGCCTTTTTGGAATCAAAATTTTCAAAAAGCCGCGAACCTTAAAAAAACATTTTTTTTTCGTTTTTCGTTTAATTTTTGTAGAAAAATTGTTCATCATTTTGCTTATTTTTTTTATGAATGTCGAATACACCTAATCTCCAGTTTTTTTTGTTCAGCTCCTTTTATCACGCAAGTTTAAAGATAGTTTTATAATAAGAAACAACGATTTGGTAAAATATCTCTTCAATTGGTTGTTTTCAGATTGCAAAAAAATATTTATAATAATTCAAACCAATTGGTTAATTTATACCAGTTACTAGTTATAGGGTTGAGAATCTTGGCTGAAAATAGGATCTCTCAAATCCTTGTAGTTTTCGAGATATCGCAATTTTTATGATTTTATCAAAAAAATTCTTGATACGTAAATTTTTTTTCAGAAGTGTTTGACATTTTTAACCATTTAGATAACTGCTGTAAAACAACTGCACTGAGTTTGCGAATCTTGGCTGAAAAAGTGCCGTCTCAAATCCTTATAGTTTTCGAGATATCGCGATTTTAGAATTTTTCGAAAAATTCTTGAGACTTAAAATTTGGTATAAATGCTGTTAGACATGTGCACTAGGCTTGCAAATCAGGGCTGAAACTTTGAAATCTCAAATTTTTGTAGTTTCTGAGAAAAATTTATTAATAACTTTAAAAAATGTTAATAATAATCATAAAAAAAGTCTTGAAGTTTTTTCTTTGATATGCTTAATGGGTAGACTCTAAGTGGGCAAGCCCTGTGCCCTTTTTTTATCCACTACAATGTCTGGTGCTCATTATGTTGGCATAAGTTTTCAATATCTAGTGAAGGTATTTTTGTTAAGTGCCGATGTTGTTTCTTGATGCCTTGTAACTTCTGAAGAAATAAGTTCTTCTTCTTAAAATTCTTCTGCTTTTATTAAACCACGTCAAAAAAAATGATTACAAATTGAAAAAACTTTGTTGTTTTTTTAAAGACTATTGTCGCAACATCCATCCTGTGCTACTTGCACAGTAACCGGCTAACCTTTTTCTCTTTCTCTCGCGTTTGAATTTCAATTTCGGAAATTATTTCCTTGTCATTACGGAATGAACATTTGCCAGGTAAAGAATCGAGCTATTCTAAAGACATATATGATATATTCAAGTTATTGCGATAGATGTTAAGAGGTGATTAACGTAGTTCGGACTGTTATATAGGTTGTGATGATTTTGTTGTTGAAAGGAAGGCAAACTGCACGAACAAACAGCGGAAGTGCAAAGTTCAAGAAAAACTTGATCGACTTTCAATTTCGAAAATGGAATTTAATTATCAGATTTGCCAGCGACATCAAAATTATTTTAATATTACCCCAGCAGTTTTCTTAAATTGGGTTCAATTTAACTAAAAAGTGTCAAACATAAATTGTTGTATCCTAGAAATTCAAAGCGCTTTAAAGCCATCATTTTTTGAACGGTCTTTTCCAAATCTTTACCAACTGTCTGTTGGCTATGATTTCAATTCTACGATGTGTGTTTTCGTTTCGGATTAATTTGATAGCGTGAGCTATAGTTACAGACATCACACTATGCTTGAACCTTGCAATAATATTATCATATTTGCTACGCCTTAACAAAAATGTAAAGTTTTTACTTTCAATCATACACCACATTGACTATTTTCAGTTCTAAACAGATTTGGTTTTCAGCAGGTTTTTTCTTCTGAAAAATGAATAGAATTCGTCCTTTTGTTATGTACCAGCATATTTTGTGCCTTTCACATAAGTAATTGCCGAGGTTTTTTACTCAAATCTTTAGGAGTGCTTGAAGCCCACAATCGGGATGATACGTCAAGCTGGCCAGGCTCGAAAAACTAACTGTTTATGAAAATGCAATGCGGTTAACGGCGCGACCGATTGGCGACTGTCAAGCAACAGAGAGTTGAAAATGCTTTTTTTTGTTTTGTCGATCTTTCCGCTATCCATTTCCTGTTCAATTGCGGACTTCCATAGCAGTGAAGCTTGGAAGAGTGATTGGTGATATAATATAGACTAGATGCAAGCTTGGTAAAAGGATGCTGAGATCGAAAAATGAAAGTTAAAAATGGTAATGGGTATCTAACTTCATAAAAATGGCACCGCCAAAATGGATGGTTCTTTGACTTTTTCTTTCTCAAACACTCCAGTAGGTTGATCATCCAACTTTTTAATTGAGATTTTGATTCGAAGTGCTTCGGGCCAACCCACATCTCTTTGTCTGTATGTCTTTGTCTGGTTGGTAAATGTTAAAATTTCTCGGAAGACATAGATGATAGCAAATGTGATTTTCGAGGCGAAGTCAACTTCTGCTGTAACGATAAGATTCTATGTTTTCTATATGATTGTTTTAGTTGAAGGTAATGCACTGGATAGTTAAAGAACTGACATTTTATAATGGCTAATACTTAGAGAGCTAATGCTTTTTTTGTTTTAAGATTTAGGCAGACTAATAAGGAAGTTTAGCGCTGAAGGTCTGCACACTGCGAGGGAGATGCTATGATTAATGACGAGAAAGGTTACTAGAATTCTGTAACACTATTAGAAGCCAAGTTTGTTGGCATTTTTTCGACAATAACTTAGAAGCAGAAACTTTACAACTGGAGCTGAGGTGGAGGGCATTCGATTCAAGAGTAAATTCTGTTCAAATGAAACAGAAACAACGTACTTTTTTTCGTGTTAATTTGTCCTACAGGAGTTAATTCTGTGGGTTAGACAATAGCTCGTTAAATTTTTATTGGGCTCTACCTAGTTTTAATAGCGTTAAGTGTCGTCAAATAAGGCTGTCAGAGCTTCAGTACCAAACTATTCATAATATAATAAAGGAGATGAATTGAGTAAAAAAGTTTTTTTTCTAAACGTCAGTCGAGGTAGGAGAGTTGCCTTGATTAATTTTTTATGAGATGAATTACGCTGCTCAGCAATTTCCAAAAGAACCGACTTCTGTGCCCAGTTTGCCCAGGCTGTCATAGGTCATTTGCCATCAGACAATTGAATTTGCTACTGACTTTCAAATCCAGAAAAATCTTCGTGAATATCTTGATAGTCGTCAATATCATAATACCCAATATCAATATCAAATGCTTCGTTTTCATCGTCATAGTCACCTAGCTCTTCACTTTCTGCTGCAAGCCCGTGATGGACACTATAACTCGTTGGAATATACGTCGATGTTTCGACTGCTTTCAGTGCAAAGATCGAATGATTCATTGTCAGCGATACACCTTCTTCGTATTATATTCGTTTTTGGTGCCATTTTTTGAATTACTCATTTTCTCCAATTTATCTTGCATTATTTTGAATTGCTGAGTTTTCGCAATTAATCTGCGGTTGCAAAATTGATAGGTTTCGGCCCATAGTATATCGGATTACTCGACTCATAATGCGTCGTTCGACAAGCGAAAATTTTTTTATGCGTGCTTGCTTGTGTTTTGAGAGCGAGGGGACATGATAGTTTTTAATAAGTCTCATTGAATTTTTTTGGCTCAAAGGGTTTTTGCTACGGTATTTTTGCTACAATACCGCTTGAGAAGTTTCTTTGATGCTAATCTAATATTGTTTTGCTTTGGCCTGTTTTGTTTCAAAACTAGTTTGATTAGTTTTGTTAGAATAGTTTTTCTGGACATTTTCTTTTTTTTCGACTTCGACTCAAAGAACTTCTTGTTAAGTCTCTAGTGATGCGAAGCTCATCTTTGCCTCTCTGTAATAATTTCAATGCACTTTAGCAGAAGATTTAAGTATATATTAAAAAACTTAAGAAAGATGCCGGCATCTCTGTCGTCATGTGATAACTTCAAGTTATCACGATAGTTCTTTTATGTTTACGGTGCGTTTTTTGGTCCGGGGCCTTTCTGGTGATATAAAATTGAAAAGGTGAGTATGGCCTTTGATAATGATGCCTACAGCTTATCGGTCAGAACTATAAGTTAATTCAGTTGCAGATGGTTAGTTGAGTCTTCTTTCTGATTATCAATAAGGAATAGTAGCGGATTTAGCGGCATGGGGGGATTCGACCAAAGGGTCACCAATCTATACTAATTTTGAGGGGGGAACACGCGCCGAAAAAACGCATTTTTTTGGTCGAAATTTTCCAAAAAGTGCCTGAAAAGCTTTTTTGGCCTGTTTTTCAAACATTTGCCCGCGGCGAAAAAAAATTGGTCAAATTGGGGTCTTTATAGTGGTTTGGGAGAGCCTCCCCCCCTCTCTCGAGAAATTCTTAGATCCGCGGCTGATAAGGAATGTATCGTTATGTCAAAATCATCATTAATTTAATTTGCATCATTATAAAAGGTAAAGTTACAATTAAATTGAACAAGATTTTTTTCAACTCTGTTCATTGAATTGGTAATAAATCTGCAAGACGAATTTATGCCAACCGAGTTTTCAAACCGCCATAGCTTCACGATCTTTGTTTATAAAATTTTGGATCAAGTTTATATTATCTTAAATTATCTTGCGCCGCTTGTAAAATGGTCGCTAATGATTGGCTGAAAGTTCCAGCTTAAAACCAAGTCTTTCTTCAAATGTTATGAACAAGTTACAATGAGCGGACCAAGTGAAACAGTTTCCATGTTCATATTTCGTCATCTGCTAACATGTGTTTTGGAAGAAAGAAAAACTGTGCTGTGACTGTTGTAGGCGTAGGTTTTATTTATGGAAGGGCGAAGATGTTATTTTAACTAACTGTTATGTAGGTGGCCGATTATAGGTATGTGTTGTTTTTTGTATCTTCAATAAGCTTAAATTGACAGGCGACATTCTTGCGTTGTTCACTTCAGCTCAAGTTCTATTCGCAAATAGGTGTGAGGTTCTAGTGCTGTTTGTGTGTTAAGAGTGGAGTTGTATGTGAAGGAGAGTGGTGGCTGGGTGCTACTGAAGAAGGCCTCTCCTGGCAACTTGACCCACTTCGAAGACGACCTGTTCGGGACAGAAACCGACTCCACCGCCAATGCTAGGTACGACAAGCTACAAAAATCTTGAAAGGACACAATTGGTTCCTATTCACGTTAGAAACTTGTTCACGGGACTACTCAGTGTGCTTAATTAATACATCAAAATCTAGCTTCTTATTTTTACCGTTTGGATTTGGGACGACAAAGGTTCGGGGTGCGAATCCGTCCAGGAACTGTAGTTTTTTTGCAAATAGAGTTTCATTGTCGTACTGCCATTTGTATGCTTACTTTTTGTCGGCTAAGTTTCCACAGCGTGGTTTTTCTTATGATAAAAGAAATTTTTTGTAGTTAATAATACAGAAGAAGCGACCTTGCAAGCATTGTATTATATTACGATTCTTTTAAATTTTTAATGAAAGTAGTGAAGACACTTTTAAAGGTCGTGGTATTTTTTATAGCTTTTTATCCGGAAAAGGCTTAAAGATTATACTCAATTTTGATTATTCGTGGTTTCGCTTTTGATTTATTTTTAAGGTCAGTTTGTTTTCTTTGATACGCATAGGTTTCTTTCCAACGCATAGGTTTTATATTGAGTTTAACAGGTTTTACTATAATCGCAAGTTCTGTAATTTTTGAATTGTTTTTGTTTTGTTTTTTCGACTAAACTGATCGGCTTATGTTATTTCAGTTTAGTGAAAGTATATTGCATTGTTTCATGAGTAAGATATTTTTTCACGCTTTTATGTGGTTCGTATAAACTTTAAAAAATTGTCTATTGGCTATGTTTTCAATTCAATTCCTATAAAATAGTGTCTTTTTGGTGGCGTCCTTGCTGCATAGTTTTGGCAGTGTTATAATTGTGTAGGGAATTTTATTTGGATGATCGAGGCCTGTGATTCGATTACCGAGAGGGCATATATATTTTTTCTTGCCCTCCTTTGCCTTTTTTCTTTTTGTATCCTTTTAAAGCTACTTCTTGGCGTTTTGTTGGTTTTTTTTGCAAAGTGCAGCTTCGCGTCGTTATTATTGATTTAAAATTTTTTGAATCTGCCATTGAATTTTTTTTTGCGTTTAGAAAATTTCATTTTCCTCTTTAAATTTTTTTCGTGATTTCTTCCGTTTTCCTTAGACACCTGAAAGCAATGAACGGAATTATTCCGTAAGCTTCCTAGAATTATGATTTTATCAGATTACAGAATTTTTTGAAAAAAGTCAGTTTTTCAGGTAATTGGTTTCCAGTCATTCAAAACAAGATTGAAGAGTTGTTAGAATTAATTTTTCTAGGTCTAATGACTCAATGGATTCGATTACCTCCTGCTTTGTGTCCATCCGAGTTGTGGCATCGTCCGATTCGGTGGGGGGTGGCGGAGGACTGACGGTGGGATTGGCCTTCGTTGATGTCATCTTGAGGGACATATCAGTGGTGCAGTTCTCCGACTCTGTCCATTTGTACCAACTGGAGACAGTCTTGTTCAGAAAGGGACCCAAAGTGAGTATTGCTACTTCTCTCCTCTTCTTGACATGCTCAGCCGCATTTAAGGATAAGCAGTGATGTTTGTTTAGGAGGCGATTGTGGAGAAGGGGACGATTGACAAGTGTCTAGCGGCAGTGCTGCAGAGGTCCCGCATCCTCGTGTCAGAAGTGGCCCGCAATGCTTTCGACATTTCCAGTCTCACTCAGGATCTCAACACCCTCCTCATTCCAAGAGTAATCTCTGTTCTCATCCGACGTCACGCCTCACTATATCTTGTTTGATCTTCGATTTTATTCTCTAAACCAAGTACAAATTATGCGTTTTTGAAATTGTTTAATGAGCCTTTTTAAGCTTCTGCGATGCGGCTGGGATATCCTGGTGTTTTTGTTATTTAGTGTAATTGATTGAAGTGATTTTTAGCTTGTATTGGTTGTGTTGATTCTTTTTTCGTTTTTTGTTAAGAATTGATATTTTGCAATATGATTTTTTTAAATTCAAATTGTATATATGCTAACGTCTCCAGAGCTTAACTGGAAAAGGGTTCTTCTGACGTTGTAATAGTCTAAAAAAAATAAAATAAGTATATCTTTTTTCAAATAAAAACAAGGATAGCCAGTGGCTGTGCAAGTAACACAGAATGTGCCGACCATACTCTTAAAAAATACATAAAACGCTTTTTCATGTTTGTCTTTCGAATTAGTGTTGTTTTTTTTGTGCGAGGCGTGTGATAAATGGATCTGACGAAAACCTAGAATTTAGGCATATTCGACAGTCAGAGTAAAATAGGCAAATTGGGCAACGGTTTTAGTCGAAAAATGACCCAAAACTACAAAATTTTCAATTAAAAAAAAGTTTTGCACAAATTGTTTGAACTTTTGATGGTTTTTATATCAGAGATGGCGCTAAAAAAGTTTGGAAAAATAATTTTTACTGGAGTTCAACTTAAGTTTCATGACTTATTCTTCAATCACACGCCTGCTCGCTTGCTGTACTCGCTCGAAATTAGCCTAAAACTCAAAAATTTAAAACCAAGTTTTCTTTACACAGACAACGTTTTGAAAATTTTTTGATGTTCGAGTCAGGGTTTTAATATGATATAGCACTCCACTCATAACGAAAAATTTTTTATGGTTAAAACTTTTGGTTGAAAAACAAAAGCCTGCTCGCTCACCTTATTCGCTCGAAATTGAACCCAAATTCAAAAAGTTCAAACTAAATTTTCTCGTGCCGACCATACTCTTAAAAAATACATAAAACGCTTTTTCATGTTTGTCTTTCGAATTAGTGTTGTTTTTTTTGTGCGAGGCGTGTGATAAATGGATCTGACGAAAACCTAGAATTTAGGCATATTCGACAGTCAGAGTAAAATAGGCATATTGGGCAACGGTTTTAGTCGAAAAATGACCCAAAACTACAAAATTTTCAAACAAAAAAAAGTTTTGCACAAATTGTTTGAACTTTTGATGGTTTTTATATCAGAGATGGCGCTAAAAAAAGTTTGGAAAAATAATTTTTACTGGAGTTCAACTTAAGTTTCATGACTTATTCTTCAATAACACGCCTGCTCGCTTGCTGTACTCGCTCGAAATTAGCCTAAAACTCAAAAATTTAAAACCAAGTTTTCTTTACACAGACAACGTTTTGAAAATTTTTTGATGTTCGAGTCAGGGTTTTAATATGATATAGCACTCCACTCATAACGAAAAATTTTTTATGGTTAAAACTTTTGGTTGAAAAACAAAAGCCTGCTCGCTCACCTTATTCGCTCGAAATTGAACCCAAATTCAAAAAGTTCAAACTAAATTTTCTCGAGACTGAGATTTTTTTCAAAATTTTTCAACGTGTCGATCGAATCACAACTGAATGGACTTTAATATGTGTATCACTCGACCCATTCCGGTGATTATTTGTACCTGTTTTTGCGTAATAAAAACAAAATAATTTCAAAAACTAAAACACCCTAATACAAAGTTCCTCCCCATTTTCAATGGTCGGAACAAAAATCATGCGCTACCAAATACCAAGTGCAATTCAAACTAATCTGCTGAAGGAAGGCATATTACACGCTTCGAGCAAAAAAAATAATGTAAATGATGCAAAAGAACGTGAATTATTAAGAGTAATGAATGCAGTGTGTGCGCTTTTAAGGTCTTGGTGATTTTTTTTCGTTTTTTCAGGAAAGTCTTTGAATTTGTTCACGCTCAAATTTGATTTTTCGTGGTTTTTTTTCAAGCTCAGATCATTTCCTTTGTGGAACGGAAGGCAAACTCCACTATTGAACCGCAAAATGTAAAGTTCGTGAAAAACTTGATCGACTTCTAGTTTTGAAAGTGGAGTTTAATTAACAGATTCACCAGCGGAATAAAAATTTACCTATTGATCCAGTTTTCTCAAATTGGGGTAATTTTATCAAAAAAACAAAAATACCAATCATAATAGGCCGCTAAATTCAAAGAGCTTCAAGGGCATATATTTTTTCTTTGTTCATTACTCTTTTCCAACTGTCAGTTGGCTATGTTTTCAGTTTCAAAAAAACTGACTTTAATTCTCTCATTTTCCCAGCGAAATGAAAGTGTCGATTCACACAATGTTATCTAATTGGGATTGTATAATGATAAAAATCCAAATCATAGAAGATAATTAGAACTTAGAGAGCTTTTATGTGATAATTTTCATCTCGAAATTCGAACATTTTTTTCGGTTTCGAAGAGTTCATTTCCAACTCTCTGGTGGCTATGTTACCTAGATTCGAATGGTTAAGAACTTTTTTTTTCTGCGTTGGTTTATTCGTGTCTCCGTTTGATGCCAATTGGAAATGTATCTCATGCCACTTGAATTAATTCTGGTATTTTTGTCCTATCAGGGATGAAACAAAAAGAGGAGGGTTGATGACAGTTTTGTTTGTTGCAGAAAAAACAGCAGCCGGTGAGTGCGGCATCTCTGCCCGAGATGGAGTTGGATGTAGCATGTAAGGCATTATCTGGAGCAATCAAACACTTAGACTTGGTGTCGCAATTTGGATCTCAGTTTAAACTGGGCACTCTGGCTGATTTGAACTACATGCGACTGGACTCCAGTGCGATCAAGGCGCTGCACCTGCTCCCAGATCCTCTGGAGGGAGTCACTAGGGACAAGTGTCTGTCAGGTGTTGTAAACTTCTATGTAGAGCCTTTAAATATCCAGTTTTGGTCGTGAAATCGTAAGGCTGTGAAGTTTGGATTCGACTGATTACATTAATTTTTTCACCAAATTTTTTCTATTTTTGACACAGCGACAGCGTTATAGTGTAACAAAAAAAGATAATAATTATGCATATTGGGGAGCGGTGGTGGAGTGATTACGTCTCCGCCTCTCGATCGAAAAGTCGGATGTTGGAGGCCCACCATGATCAGTGCTTGTTGCTTGAGGGTGGGTGAGGCAACATGACCCAGCCCAAAAGAAAAGTTGCATGTAGTTCTATACAGGGGCACAATATCGGTTCACCTTGATGTGCTGTACAGCTCGTATATTGGTCCTTTCTCTCGTGGATAAATGGTCTTAAAAAATTTTCAACGAAAAAATCATGCGGAACGTAATACCTTGAGTACTCACATTGTCAATGTTTCAATTAGCATTTGTTGTACGAAAAAAATCCTAGTGTTTGAAACTTTTTGAAAATAATCAAAACCTATCTCGCAAATTAGCAACATGGGTTAAAATTATCGGACTAGTTTCCTAGCAAATAATGAAGGTTTCATAGAAACTAACCAGCTTTCATAGAAACCAACCAGCTTTCACGATTTATTATAATTTATAACGTATAATTTATAAGTTCTGAAAAACCATTAAAACGTCGAAACTAGCTGCGTTTGAGGGGGAAAATGTTGGGCTGGATTTGCAGCCTATGTTGTTGTTAGCATCGAGGAGGCGCGTCCGGAAAATCAAACCAAATCCCAGATACGTAGTAAATTCGGTTGACCGGAGTCATTAGTCTAGCTGAGTAGTGGAGTTCTTTGAACAGTTAAACACGTGTAAGGTGGTTTGGGCGGAAGGACAGTAAGGGTAGTTTGGAGAGAAAGTTGGGCCTATTTGGTTTAGGTAGGTGTGTAGGAAGGGAATATATCTGGACTTTAACTGGAAAAGCGTTTTTCTGGTGCAGCGGGGAAAGGATTTTTGGAAGGGGGGTTTGGAGGAGAAGTTTTGGTGAAGGTGCTTCTGCAGTATCTTCCAAGCACCTTCAATGTTCAGATGTATGAAAATTGTAAGAGGCAAACGATTTGAGTACCTTGATGTTACAGATAGTGTGAAAAGATGCACTTGCCGTGTAGTACATGATACGTTCTTTTTTTTGGAAAAACAGAGATCTAGCATTTTTGTGCAGTTTTTCTTGTAAGCTTTTGGCTGTTGGTGACAAAAAGAATAAAAGTTCAAAGGATTAACTGGGAAGCGAGTAAGTTATGGTGTTGGGCGACATTTATAAGTAAACATTTATTTACAATGCAAATATTTGGCAGCGCCTGTTGATGTGCTATCCATAATTTAAGCGGAGACTGAAATTTGGAACCTTTGAAATTTGTTTGAGGACGCTTTCCGCTTTACGAAGTCTAATTTGTGGCGCTTCTCTGTGTATTAATCATTTTCATTTGAGGGCTGGTAATGAACTACTTGTTGATTGAATAGAAAACGTTAGCGGAACTTTTTGATATGGAAAATTCGTGGAAGCTTAAGTAAAAAATTTGAAATTTACCATGGTGATGTAGTTTAATAAATTAAAGGGGGCCTTTGGAAAGTTGTTTTGGGCGAGCAAAAAGTTCAAAAACATCTGCATACGATGCAATAAGATTTTAAGGTGCATAATGGATTCTAATGAACCTGAAAATTGAAAAAAAATGGGGATAGGACTGATCTTAGTGAGACACCTGCACATACAAACGTTATTGTAGACAGAGCATCTCGAAAAAATTTTTTCATTGACGACCACTCAGATAATGTAATAACCATCTGGTGAAGCTTCTAAGTACACTGGTGCCGTTAAAATGGCTTGGAACCGTTCCTAGGACAAACTTCTTTTAACGATGAATTCATTTTCAGAAACCACTAGTCGAATTCTGGTGAATGGAAGTAGTATGGAGATGTTTTTGCCATATATTTCTCTTCTCTTTGGCTGTTCTGGTCACAATTTCGTGTAAATTTTTTTTTAAACTGGATGGGACGGCTTCGCAGTTCTTATGCTGTCCCTGAGCTGTTTCTTTGTTTGATGACTTGGTGCCAATACAATGAAATGATATCGGGCTGCTTGAATGTGCTGACGGGCTGCAGTGAGAGTCATCTCACCAAAAACTACGATCTGCATAGTGAGCATCAATCTACATAAGTTTCTTTGTGAGAACATTAAATTGCAATTTCACAACTTTGCCAGTACGCTTCCGCTAAGTTTCAGGAAAGTTTGAAGAAGCAAGAGTGAAATATCCCCAGCCTTGGGAAGATATAACAAAATTGGTTGCTGGTCTGAGCCCAGGTTAAAAAATTTTTGCCATGCAAGGTTTTGTAGCATTGAGGAGGATGCCAGTGATACTTCCGGGTTTGCGCTGATGAATTCCTGTCAATGTGACACCTATTTGATAGTAGTAATTGTATGGCGTGGAGAATGATTCCATAGCTTCTAGGCTCCTAGGCTTGCCCCACGTTGGGTCTCTGGTATGTTTGAGCGCCATAGGGAAAATGAGGGTTTGTATCCTCAATTAAAAATACTGTTCTCTTGTTTTGGCGAGTGGAAAGGATTGCTTTAGTGGTTAGGAGACTTGTTAGAGGGAGGGATATCAAATCGATGTAACGGTTTTGATTTTTGGCGTTTATCTCCTTATTCACTGTTTCAAGTCCTCGAAGAGGTTTATTGACTGCAGTGAGAAGATCTTTTCCCTCTCGCTGTCTGTGTTTTTTATTAACCTTGTAGTTAAGATTACCAAGGGAGTGCAATTTTTAGAATTCAAATTGGTTTCTTGAACAGTTAGGTGAATAGGGCTCATTAAAGCTGCTATTTCCGTAGTATCCCCATAGGGCGCATTACAATTTAATTGCAGAACATTTAGGAACTTCATAGTGGATTGGCTTGGTTACTAGGGGACTTGTCGTCGGTAGTCGGGCAATATCGCTTTTTGATCTAATCGCGGGTTGGTTGATGGGGGTATAGAAGAAGATACGGCAGGGGAATCGATGCTTTTAAGGAAACAGTTCTTGGCTGAAATGCACAGTTTTTTTTGGTTTGGGGAATGTTACAAGGAGATGTGCATGTACAACTTAGAAAGTTTTTTCTGCTATTTCAACTGCTGTTCGGATTGCTATATTTAAAATGAATCCACCCGCAAGTTTGACATTGACACCAATTGTTCGCTTTAATATTGACACCAAATCTTTAATATGCTTCTGAAGATTTTTTGGTTGCTTGGGGAGCAGGTGTAAGATTTGGGGTTGAAGTTTATGGCAGCTCGAAAGATAGTTTTTCAAATTGACAGGCAGAGCAACCTGGCCATCTTAGTACGCTCTGCAACCAAAAACACTAAGGGAGCATGCTTTCGCGTTCCCCACTTTTTAGGGAGTGTGAGTAAGTGACATTTGCGGCTGTTTGCACATCATGTCGGGTTCGCAACTGGAGGGCGATTTTTTCCTAGCCCCAAGTATCCAACCAGTGGGATTAGGTTGTTGTTTGGCAAGCGGGTAGGATCAATAGTTTCACATAACATAGTTAGCTTTTAATTGACGAACAAACACTTCTAATAGTTCATTTTCTACCATCGACCCAAGATTTGGTGGTACTAAAACAATGTTACCTATTAAGCATAGAACCCCCTTTTCTCGGTGAGTAGTATGACTTTCATTCATAACTTCCGAAAGCTTTCTCATATGGTTAATACAGATTTTAAACGATTAAAAAACAATTTATAAAGTATATGATGTTTTTAATCGAAATATGGTGGTGTAAGACCTGGGACATGCATAAACGTGCGTTTCACGACATGATTTTCAATTGAAGAAATAGACCTAAGTTGCTTTTCTGATTCATAAAAATAGTGTTAGCGATAGAAAGAGGAGTGCAACTGTATTTGAATACATCATTTTGTATGGTAAGTTTGATTTTTTTTTATTTAATAGCTGAATATTTTTAAATTACAAAGTGACACATTTGTGAGACAAAACCACAACCTACTTAATTTTGATCTCAGGTTAACAACCTGACCGGCAAAATTTAGTATACTATCAACCTTTACTTCGTTCTGTTTCCATATAAGCATTGGTCAAAGAAGTTCCATCTTTTTGAAATCAACGAAACCTTTCTTCGTGTTTTTGACATTTGCTAGATGAGGCTATATGCAAGGAGCTAGCTGTATCAAAATTTGAGAATACTTTTTTGAAGGCTAGTTTTTCATATCATGTCTAGTTTTAGAGGTCCTTGCTGTAGAAGCATCATCGCAAACAACACAAATTATTCGGTTGAAGTGGTTCAAGTTTATTGAGGAGAAGCGAATGATCCGTTGAATCTGATTTTCTATGTTAGTTCCACAAAAGAATGGTGGCAAGTTTTTGTCGAAAGCCAAACAGTTGAAGCATTCTTGCATGTTCAAGCATTATTTTTGTCGAAAGCCGAGCAGTATCGCTTATCAAAGTTTTGTAAAAAAATAATTAGATGATCGAGAATGCCTTATTTTTTCCAAAGTTCTGCTGTAACTTTGTATTTAAACTAAAGGCTTGTAATTAATTGGAATTGACCAGCTTCCAATTTATGATAAGGAATGATAACAACATTTTTCAGAAGTTTGGGCAAGCTACCGGATTCGAAGCTCAGATCTATCTCTAAGATAAGGAGCAGTGGTATAGACGATTTTTTATCAGGAATGTATTGCTAATTTCATCATCTTCCGAGTAATTTTTCACTTGTAGGTTTAATATTGTTTTGAGAACGTTCTGAAAGGTACATTTGTTTGTTGTAAATTTCACATTATCAAATTGAAAAACACCAATTAAAAAAAATATATTTCGCCAGAGTAATTGGACCAGTTGACTTTGGGTACTCCAAAAAATCTGTTAACTATACTGGAAGTATAAGTTTTCACTCGGCATTTAGGTGATGTGTTGTGTTCTGTTAGATTGCATGGGGCTTATCGGTTACAGGTCTGTTGGACAAGTGTCGCACTGGGCAGGGTCACCGTCTGCTGAGGCAGTTTCTCAAACACCCCCTGACGGATGTACGACTGATTGAGGAGAGGCTGGACTGTGTGTCTGTACTGGTTGGCAACAGTGACTTGAGGAGGCAGCTGCATGACCATTTGCTCCGCCGCATCCCAGACGTCCAGAGGATATCTGCTCGGTTCCAGAAAAACAAAGCCAGTCTCAAGGATGTTTACAAGGTAAATTGGATAATATTAAATTTCAACTTTACTCCAATGTTCTTTGGAGTCTCTACGTGCGAGCGTAGCCTAATATTTTACTGTTGAGCAATTTTTTACTTTGTCTAAAATTAGAATTTTTGGTTGAAATCCGAGTTCACTGAATACGTAACTTATGAGGTTAGTTGCAAGTTGCTATTGAAAACGGGTTTACTTTGCCATTTTTGCTAAATATTTACTAGTGTGGCTCAGTTTGTAAAGCAAATTTTTCTGAAAAATGGTCAAAGCCAATTTTCATATTCAGATCATTCTTTTCCGCTTCAAATTTTTGCTTTTGTAGTTTTCCCCATTTAGCAGTATATAAAATGTATTCATCTCTTTTAAAGCTATTCCTAGAATGGGGAAAACTAAAATGTGCGTTTTTACCAAAATGCGCTCGTTGATCATATGTAGCTTTAAGGCTATCTATTTTCAAAAAACATTTCAGTTTTTTTCTATTTCCTTGCGTTCATTGACTCTTTTCCAACGGTTTGTTGGCTATATTTTATCATTATACTTGCGAGAGCTTTTCTGACAAGAAATTTAACTTGCTTTATTATTGAGCCTTAACAACTTCCAGGTTTCTTATCACTGGGCCTGGAGGTAACCCGGTCGCGTTGCAACATAAAGTCTCGAGTATGAGTCCCGGCAGGACCTTATTATTTTTTAAAGTATGATTTACAAGAATTGTCGGACTTTCGTTCGTCTGCCCAAATTTTTTTGGATTAGGTGCCAAATCACGGATTGTTTTTGTGCTGGAAGCATGAATTATGGTAGTTGCAAGTGTTGTTCTTTGTAGTTTCAGGGGGACTTAAAACTTTTGGAAGTTCTTAAAAAAAAATTTTTTCGGCTCAACTGGTTTCTGCTTAAATATAGTCGGCTTTAAATCTAGTATATGATTTTTTCACCGTTTTGTAAAACTTTTTGACTTTTCTCTAAAATTACCCTCTCAAACCTGAGAATTTGGGTTGAAAGAAGCGAACGGGTCATGGGAGTCTCCTTTTTACAATCGAATACGCCCAATTTTTGTAACAAAAAAAATATGGCCCTGGGAAAAGTCAATTTTTGGTTTTTTGTAACCGTTTTTTGAAAATGTTTGACTTCTCTCGAATCTGAGTTTTTCGGTTCAAATTGATATAATCCTGTGTGAATATATTCTGCATAAGTGGGTACACCTAATTTTTTCACAAAAGCTAAGATTTTTGTTTTTCGGAACTTCTACTATCCTGCCAAATCTGATATGAACGGTTTAATCGATCAAAATAGCTGGTTTGGAAAAGCATCCCTGCATAAGTGGTTACTCTTGATGTTTTTTGAGAATGCCCATTCTCAGATTAAAGGTGCAATCGAAAAATAGACTGTAAGCTTTTTTGCTACATAAGGCATTACGCCCTATTTTCTGCAGTAAAAAATTACAGCCTGCGGAAAAGTCAAATTGTTTATTTTTGTGACAGTTGTTTGGAAAGTTATTGATTTCGCTCAAAAACTACCATATCAAATCTGAGATGAAGAGTTCAATCTAAAGAACAGGATATCAAAAGTTTTCCTGCAAAAGGCCCTCTTTTAAAGCTATTCCTAGAATGGGGAAAACTAAAATGTGCGTTTTTACCAAAATGCGCTCGTTGATCATATGTAGCTTTAAGGCTATCTATTTTCAAAAAACATTTCAGTTTTTTTCTATTTCCTTGCGTTCATTGACTCTTTTCCAACGGTTTGTTGGCTATATTTTATCATTATACTTGCGAGAGCTTTTCTGACAAGAAATTTAACTTGCTTTATTATTGAGCCTTAACAACTTCCAGGTTTCTTATCACTGGGCCTGGAGGTAACCCGGTCGCGTTGCAACATAAAGTCTCGAGTATGAGTCCCGGCAGGACCTTATTATTTTTTAAAGTATGATTTACAAGAATTGTCGGACTTTCGTTCGTCTGCCCAAATTTTTTTGAATTAGGTGCCAAATCACGGATTGTTTTTGTGCTGGAAGCATGAATTATGGTAGTTGCAAGTGTTGTTCTTTGTAGTTTCAGGGGGACTTAAAACTTTTGGAAGTTCTTATAAAAAAAATTTTTTCGGCTCAACTGGTTTCTGCTTAAATATAGTCGGCTTTAAATCTAGTATATGATTTTTTCACCGTTTTGTAAAACTTTTTGACTTTTCTCTAAAATTACCCTCTCAAACCTGAGAATTTGGGTTGAAAGAAGCGAACGGGTCATGGGAGTCTCCTTTTTACAATCGAATACGCCCAATTTTTGTAACAAAAAAAATATGGCCCTGGGAAAAGTCAATTTTTGGTTTTTTGTAACCGTTTTTTGAAAATGTTTGACTTCTCTCGAATCTGAGTTTTTCGGTTCAAATTGATATAATCCTGTGTGAATATATTCTGCATAAGTGGGTACACCTAATTTTTTCACAAAAGCTAAGATTTTTGTTTTTCGGAACTTCTACTATCCTGCCAAGACTGATATGAACGGTTTAATCGATCAAAATAGCTGGTTTGGAAAAGCATCCCTGCATAAGTGGTTACTCTTGATGTTTTTTGAGAATGCCCATTCTCAGATTAAAGGTGCAATCGAAAAATAGACTGTAAGCTTTTTTGCTACATAAGGCATTACGCCCTATTTTCTGCAGTAAAAAATTACAGCCTGCGGAAAAGTCAAATTGTTTATTTTTGTGACAGTTGTTTGGAAAGTTATTGATTTCGCTCAAAAACTATCATATCAAATCTGAGATGAAGAGTTCAATCTAAAGAACTGGATATCAAAAGTTTTCCTGCAAAAGGCCCTCTTCCTTGGCTTACGAAAAAAAAAGTTTTGTCTTTGAGAAAAGTGCTTTTTCTGATATTTTCACCATTTTTGCAAACTTTTTCTCTCTTCTCCAAAACTACCCTGCCAAATCATAGAGTAAGCGAAAAATAGTCCTGGCGTAGATTGCTCCGCGGCTATGAGTTTAATCGAAAAACCTGTTTTGAAAAACTTTTCTGCAGAAGCGTTGACTCCTCACTTTTTTTGTAGAAAAAATGATGTCCTTGCGAAATCTCCATTTTCTCAAAATTTTCCATTCTTCTGACTTATTTTTATTGGAGAAACGATTAAGCTTATAGATACAGCCCAATTTTTGAAGTTTTGAGTTAACCTGTTTTTTTTCCGCATCGGTTTAACAATTTCGAAAATATCGAACAGGTACCTCCAGCTTTAGATTGGCCCCTAGTTTCTTTTCATCGGAATATACCAAAAATTCGGTTCACCTTTTTTCAGAGTTTTTCATTTTTTTCGACGTCTTGTTTATTATGTTTTTGTTGCAAGTGGTGCGGAGTGATTGTTGCAAGCGGTTTTATCGCAAGTGGCGGGAAGCGCGGCTACGCCTCTGTGTGTAATTATTGGTGCAGTTAATACAATTAATTGGAATTCACAGGAGTTTTCAGTTCTTTTTAAAATACTTCTCGAGCAATTTTTTCGTCAATCATTCTTTCATGTTGATTTTCTTTCTCTTTGATTTATCTTGCTCAGAAGGATAACCATTTTAACTAATAGAATGGAATTCAGTGCGAAGTGATTTTAAGTGTTAAAGAACGAAGTAGTTTTTTTGATATAGAATGTGATGAAATTTTTTTTGTTTTTCTTTTCAGGAAAATTCCTAAAATTTGTGCACGCTCAAGTTTGATTTTTCACGGTTTGACTCCTAGTTTTTTGAATGACTTCTAGGTTAAACAAGAGACTCACGTTTTTTTTTTTGGAATGAGAAATAGATCGATCAAAATTTCTCTAAATTATAAACAGTTCTTGAAATGCAAATAGTGTTAACGCGATAGAATTGTTTCTTCGAAAATTGTTTCTTCGAATGCTTCCAGCTGTCTTTTGTCAATGTTTTTGTAAGTTTTATTATTTTTGCCCATGATTTTGAGAGTTTTTGAGCTTCAAAGTTTAATTTCAACTGTGTTTGTGCTTGTTCTTGAGAGATTTGTTGGTTGCAATGAACATAGTGATGTCACTTATACAGGTCGTAATCAATTTATTTTCGGTTTTTTTTCAGGAAAAAATCTTGAAACTTGTAGCGCTCATATTTGTTTTTGCTTTGACTTTTGATTTCTTACTATGTTCTGTTCATTCCACTTTCCAATAAGTTAAAACTCCAATTACAAACAGCAAACAATTTTTGTTCTTGAAATTTTTTAAGTTCTTTCTCAGTCTTAATTTGTCTTGGTTCCTGTAATGTGATATAAAAGATGCGTGGCGATATGTTTGTCTGATTTTTCATTTTTCTCTGGGATTTGAATTTTTTGTCGTCGTCTCCAGTGAACCTAAATGTTTTGCAGCCAGCTTAAAATGTTGGTTGGAGCCAAAGAACTCGATGCTTGTTTAAACTTTTCCAGTAATTTTTTTGCTAATAAGTAAGAAAAAATGGGCAGTGTTGTAAATATCCGCTTGCAGCAACGTTTGGTTGAAGCAACCGGTTATATGTTAAATGTGCTTACTCTTGCGCTAAGCAAGGATCTGGACTCCTCGAGGTACTTTGGTTCTTATTGTATTCAATTTTGTAAGTATATCATGCTCACTTAGCATGGAGGTAACGAATCTTAGTTGCCGCGTCTAAGAATTGTTTATTTTTGCTGTAAACATTTTAAATTTAGTTGCTTTTAGTGCTTTAGCATTTAAAAAGTCCGACCGAATCGAAATTTGCTTTTTACTTGATTTGTTAAAATATTTTTTTTGTTTTTTTTCGGCTTAATCGTTCGGTAATTTTATATCGACTTTGTGACCTCTTATTGCGTCGTTTGATGACTGAAAAAAGTTTTTGTGTGCATGTGTGTCCTGAGGTGAAGGTGACTCAATTAAAAAAAACTTAAGAACTTTTTTTGGCATGAAGGGTTTCTGCTGAGATAATATCGGTTTTGTTGCAGAAATTTTGGCCAAAACATGGTCTTTTTAGTGCTTTCGGAGAGCGCGAAAAAATCAATTTAGCCAACCTAAAAAAAGGTCGACAAAATTTTCCAATTTTTTTGAAAATCCCCCTTGTCAAAATCCTAGATCCGCTCCTGGTGCTGTTGCTTGAAACACATGATTTGCGTGGCCGTCATGTTTTCACCGCATTGCTTTTGTTATTGAATTCCTGAATTTGAGTCATATGATCAGCAGTAGCAAACAATATCATTCGTAAGATAATGACGAATAGAAAAATGTATGGCAGATGTTTTTTCATTAGGTCAACTATTTCATCCGAATCTAGTGAGCCCGGTTGAAGCCACACGAATATGTAATACGGCAAGTTCCAAGCAGTTGTTTGAAACTCCGCATGACTTTATATTTTAAGAGTGTGTTCTTTTATTCTCTTGTCACCGTTAAACAAAAGTTCGATCAGAAATTGAACACTATTGCTACAGACGCGAATCTATCATCTATTCACGCGAGCTATCCGCATCTCATCAGTTTCAACTTTTGGACAGCGCCTGGTGATATTTCTGGTTGGCAGCTGTTTACACTAGCTATCAGCGTAGTGTATTACTACGAACCTTCTTGTTTTTCTAACCTAACTCGCAAATAAAAGTGTTCATTAAAATGTTCTCTTATATAGAAATTTCACTGTAGCATTGGAAATTGCATAGCATCTGTTCTCTGCTTTTTTGTGGCTTATTCTTTGCATCAATTAAGCGTCCGTGACTGAGTTGTTCGTGAGTGAGATTCATTATCTCTAGGTCGCATGTTCGAATTCGAGACATCCGAATTTTTTAATGCGAGGGTTATTTCTACTTTTTTATTGCACTTTTAGAGCTCTACTTTATATAGTGAACTTTTTGCTAGAAATAAAGAAGTTTTTGAGACTCCTGAATCATTAAGTTATGGAGATATGGACGTTTTTATGATTAGGTAAAAGTTTCTGAGAGTAATTTCAATAGTCATTTTGTAGGATTTTGAATAAAATTATCTGCAACTTGATGACCGCTCGTGGTTGCAATCAATGGCTAACTTTTGAAATGCTCGTCAGTTTTTATTTTTCGAGCAACATATATTTTTAAAAATTATCAGAATTCAACATTTTTTATATGAGCGCTCTTAGAAAAAGGAAAAATTGTGTTCCTTTCATCTTAGGAAGCACAGATTTGGATAGGTATGTTTGTAGTTTGTGATAAAAAATGTTTTGCAGTTGTGTTGTGCGTGTTATATCTGGAAAAAAATAGGAAAAAAAACTTAAGTTATTTTTGAAAAAAAAAGAGACAAAAAGTTCTTTTTGGCTTGGAATTCAATAAAATTTAAGGGTAGGCATTGAGTGGACACCTAAATGTGCATTTAGCTTGTCCTCTCTATGTTGCTTATCTTTTGATTATAATTGAAGATAATGAAAAAAAAATCGATTTAATTCAGTGTAAATTGTTTTGATGTATCTTATTATGTATACTGGAGAAATAAATTCTTCTTCTTCGTTGCGCTCAAGTTTGTTGCATTTTTAATTCGATTGATATTAATTATTTTTATCGAAATGGGTGAAATATGCCCGTGAGGGCTGTTTGCCGTAAAGCATTTTGAATGATTTTTTGTTTTTTTTTGTTTTGGTGAAAATGCGTCGAAAATGTGTATTTTAGCCACGTAATGTTCCAGCAAACATACACTCAACGAAATAAATTGACCCAAGCTATTTCCGAGTTTTTGACGATTAGACAAACCCATTTCGTGACAGACTCAGAAGTTGATAAAGTTTTACGATTAGTGATCAAATTTTGAGAAATGGATTTAATTGATAAAACTTTTGGCACTGCAAAATCGCATGCTAACTTTGCTTTTATCTAAAAAGAGACTACTTGCTGTTGGATTTTAGGTGTATCAAGGAATTGAAGTGCTTCCCAATCTAATTTCGACGATTGAGAGCAGCCAATTGCAGGAGGGTTCGAATGCGTCAGCCTTCAACGAGAAGTTCTTCCAGCCTCTGAGGGACGTCGCGTTGGATCTAGGTACAAATTCCTCTCTCCCTTTCGCTCCCATCCCTATCTCTCTCTCTCTCTCTCCTCTCTCTTTCTCCCCTCTCTCTTTCTCTCTCTCGATTGTAGAAGGATGGAGAAGAAAAGCTGCTGGTCTGAAACGTTTATTCTTTTGACTGAATCTTAGTCCGTATTTTATCTGTTTCTCATGATTAATTTTCGAAAAACAATCAAAAATAGCAAAAAGTATACATTACTTTCATCAATTCCATTATTATATAGAAGGCTCGAGACAAATGTATTTGATCTAAACTGAATTTAAAGATAATGCCTCAGCTTCTATGAAATTTGTCTCGCTCAATGTTGACGAGAGGATATTGTCAGACCCTGAATCAATAGTTATTGCAATCAATGATTACTTGGATCATTAGGCATTAAGTTTGTAATAATGTGGAATATGTGAAAACGATGGTTAAAATTCATATCGCAGGTGAATATGTGAATCTATCTAACTTCTGATTTTTGTCTTCTTTTTCGTCCCACCAGGCCCAAACTTTTTCTAATTTTATCTCACTTTGTCGCCCAATGTCACTCTTGAGTACGGCAGTAAAATAGTTGGAAAGATTAGGCTTTCTCATTGTACTTTTATCTGGAAACGTTTGCGAGGGTTGGTGCATCAGTAGGACTGTCTGAAGGGTAAGATTAGTTTTTGATAAAAACGTAAAATATGCTTTCAAACAACTTTTCCGAGGAAGTGCTTTGGAGTTCGTTCTATGCCACTGTCTATATTTCTGTTTTTCGCTTTAACATGATATGTGATAAATGAGTTTTTCAAGTCGTTTCGACGAAAATGGTTGAACTCTTTTAGGTCGGTATTTCGACGCTAGTTTTTTTCGCTCTTTGTAAATGGCTTAATTTTTTTGTCTTCTATTTGGAGAGGAGATGTTGCTTTTCAACTATCGTGTTAAAAAGAAAAACTGTGATCTGGCGAAAGAACGCCATAGTTATTTTAAAAGAAGGTTCTGCAATCTAACGAGGGCTTTAGACTTTTGGTTATTAGTTTTTTTTAAATTTATTCATTATATTTTGCTGAAGACAAATTGGAAACAGCTGAAAAGGGAATGTTGCTCCAGACCGATTTTAAAAAGTGATTGAAATTTCAGCTTTCTCTGGGTCACATAAAGTTTATCATCATCTAGGTAGATTGTCTAGGTAGAGCGTCGATCACTTTTCAAGAACTTGTGAAATATTTCAAAACGGCCCGCTTTGAAAATTTCTTCAGGTGTTTGCTGTTCCTTAATTAAGGCATACGCCAGCTTCGTTTCCGTTTTTAATCTATACTACGCATGTTAGCATCGCTTTGGCTCTAAATATAAATCATATTTCGAAGAGCTTCAATTTTGATTAGATTGGATTTGCAAGGGTAAAGGTGTTCCCCAGGTGGTGTGTTATCCTCGGTCCTTTATAACCTGTATATGTCTCAAATGCCAATACCTGAGAATAATAATGTCAAAATAACAGCACATGCATGCGATATTGCCATAACAGTACCAGGTACCAACATCAGAAACTTAACCCAGACCATTAATCCGTTGTTAGAAAACTTCATCACCTGGCTTACGAGCAGAAATCTTTAACTCTCAGAAGATAAAGCTACAACATCTATCTTTTCAACTTGGACAAATGAGTTCAACCTAAAAGCAAATGTCATGGTAGATGGCACCCAGCTACCTGCCACCCGAAACCCAAAAATTCTGGGCGTTACATTCGACAACCAAGTTAATTCAACGAACACTAATAAAGTCTGTGAAAAGCCTTAAAAAAAGAAATAACGTTCTGAAAAAACTTGACGGCAATACTTGGTTTTACTCCAAAGAAACAAGCACTAATTTTTACAAGGCAATTGGCAGGAGTGTACTGAACTATGCATCACCCATTTGGACCCCCACATTGAGCTACACAAACTGGCAAAATCTGCAAGTTAAGCAAAACAATGCAACAGGAACAATCATTGGTTGCGTAAAAATGAGTGACATCACGCATTTACTCGACGAAACAAAAGTACTTCTGTTCAGAAAACATTATGAAATGCTCTCCAAACAGTTTCTGCTTGGATGTTATCAAGACCACAGAGCAGATCTCCATACTTTAAGTTATAAAGGGTATAACCGCAACAGCAGGTCCACCCTCGGACATCAGTTAACGTTGAACCCGTAATTGAACACCTCTTAGGAACAACCATGAGAGCATCTCTTAGCTTGAATATGTTTGTGGGATCAAAAACTTTTTCATACCACAGAAGTACAAAGTTTCCTTAACGAGAAATCTAGGCTACTTGGCAGAATTCCACCAATAATATCAGCTAAAGAAAACAAACTTGAGCAGAAAACCAGATTCACGCTAGCACAACTTAGGTCGGGTTATTCAACTCACCTTAATAGTTATCACCATAGATTAAATAACAATAAACCTGACTTCTGCCCAAATTGCTGTATAGGACCGCACACTGCTGACCATCTGTTTAATTGCCGAGTACACCTTACCGCACTTACCATCGGCAGCCTATGGGAGAATCCTGAAGGAGCGGCCAGACATCTGCAGCTTATCACATAACCTCACGTTACGGAAGTTTATCGGTTCTCTCCTCAACTAAAATTTGCCGGCTTGAACCGGGCATGGAGTTTTACTCGGTTCTCCGCACGCCGAAAAACTTGGCCCTTAGAACGGGTATCATTAACGACCACCAAACCTCCCTCTTGAGTGTGCTATACAGAGAGGAGGCGCCGACACCATCGCAAAGACGCTATTTCTGGGAAAGGTGGTGTCCCTTCTTCGTCGGTTTGCCGCTAGAGACCCTGGTGGAACTATACAAGACGACCAACGGAAAATCCCTAACTCTTTCGCTATCTAACAAACAATATGCAATTCTGATGTAATTTACGTTGGTGCTAGGGATTTTAGCAGACCAGTTTTTTAGCAGACATATCTTTTAGCAGACTCAGTGCGATCAGAAAATCAGAAAGCTAACTTCAAACGCGGCGTTGGTAATTAGCGACCGCTTGCTCCGCTGCGCTTTCATTCGGTATGAGTGTTATCGTTCGCGTAAACCTTTGTTTTGCCGCTAATTTAGACTGTTGTGTTTTTGAAGTTGATAGTTTTGTTGACAAATTGTGAAATAATCGTCCTAATTGGGCAAGCTTGACCCAAGTCTGAGCGTCTTCGTGAGTCTGTCAATAAATTATGCATCAGTTTTTTTTACGTTGGTCTGCTAAAATACTCCTTTTCTCTTTTTACGCTAAAAGATTGGTCTGCTAAACGACCGGTCCCCATTTAGTTATTCTGAGGCAACCCATTTAGATTGGTCTGCTAAACGACCGGTCCCCATTTAGTTATTCTGAGGCAAAAAAATTCGGGTTAAAGATATGGCGGTTTGTAGACATGGCGGTTTCTTGATTATCCGCCGTTTCGCCTGTCGCGCAAATACGACTGTTTAAATTGACAATGATCCTCGCTTTGTATGGCACATGATCGCGACTAATCCCTAATCAGGAAGTATGCAATAGATAATTATCTGATGTCCCCGGTATTGCACAGTATCACGGCAAACAATTAATTTCTATTTTCGAGGTTGATCGCTTGCCTATAGTCAAGCTGCAAAGAGTGTCTAGGACAGCCTACTAGTTTTCAGCTCTGGATGTTAAAGTTGGCCAATCAGTTTGAAAAGTTAATGCCGCCTAGTCAGATCACATTGAGAACAGATTCTTTTTGTTGCTGTTAGTTGGAGTGAAGAGGGAAGTTGGCGACCAACTGTAAAGACAGCGATGAATGACAGCTTAGTATTGAACTGAAGTTAAGTCAGTACGCAGTCGGGTGAAGTAAACGTGAATCTGAAGTAAGGGATGTTCGTTCTTCACCACTAGCGATTTACACGTTCATTCAGCAAATATTTGATAATTATTGAAAGAAACTGGAAAACATTTCTAAATTCCCAACTGTAATCGTAACAGAATTGAATAGCATGGAATGTCTTTTTTATACATGAAAGTAGCTCCACTGTGAACCACCGTAGAAGTAGGTTGGAACTGAAAGGCCTTTACCGGAACGAAAGTTAGGAAGAAAAATAGCTGTCCCAATGAAAGATAGACACTTGAAATGAGATAACCAAACAGGTGCAAGCTGTGGGATTCGGCGGAGAGTCAAAATGACCACTTACAATAAAATCAACTATCCTTCTGAAAGTGCAGAGTGGTTTGTGGGCCTTAGGTAAGTTTGTGGAGATGGTGCCCAAAGTGGTGCACTTGGAAAAGGTGAACGAGGGCGTGTTCATGATCAACCCCCACTTCATGGAACACCTGAAGGACACTCACGAGGAGATGGAGGCCATGAAGGGGCAAATGAGGGAGGCGCTTTGCCAGGTGGGCAGAAAGATAGACAGGGAGCCGGACAAGGGCGTGAAGTTGGAGAACCACCCAAACCACGGATACTGTTTCAAGGTACCAGTACTATTGCTCAAATACACTATTAGTCACTGGTCGCTGATCATTTGACATTACCATTTTAGGAAAAAGACAATTTAGGAACCAGTTACATACATTAGGAAAAAGCCCTTTTTTGACATTTTGACCGTTGTTGTGAAATTTTTTGTTTTTTTTTTCTCATAAATTAACCTGACCAGTCTGAGATTAAGGTTTCAATCAAAACAACCTGTTTTAGTAGTTCCTTTGTTTTTTTTGCTACGCGCTAGTTGTCTTGAAAAAAAAAGAGTTTTGGCCAGAGCAGACGTCTAAATTTTGGCTTTTTGGATTGAACTTTTTCCTTTCCTCAATCGCAAAAATGAGTGTTAGAAACTCACTCACTGTGCCCTTATTTTGTATGAAAAGTTAAAAAAGGAAAAGTTGTAGAAAAATGTCCATTTGGAACGTTTGACTACTTTTTGTAAACTTTTGGAAATTTTTCTCCGGGGGCGGATATAGGATTTTGTAGAGGGGGATTTTCAAAAAATCTGATTTTTTTTAGGTTGAATTATAAAGACCCCCTTTCCCAAATTTTCTGCGCAACGGGCAAATTTAAAAAAAAAAACAGGCCAAAAAAGCGTTTTTAAGGCCTTTTCTGACAGTTTTTACCAAAAAATTTTCTTCGCGCTTCCTAATCAAAGTTACTATATATTAGCGTCGAATGCGCCTTTAGAAAAATTTTAGGTTCTGTCAGCCAAAAACGGATTTCATAAAATAATACCTCAGGGGGATTCTTTGGGTTTCAGTGGGTCGAATGCTTGAGTGGGGCATCTGCCGTCCTCCTTATCCGCCCTGACAAATCTGAGTTTCAGGGTTTAATCGAAAGAAAATGTTTTGTGAATCACCTCTGTGAAAGAGGTGTCGGTCGCCCTAATTAATTGACGAAAAACAGAAAAACACTCAATCGCCTTAGAACATGTACAAAGCCTTAGAAAGTGTACGTAAATAGTTGCGAAGCCAGCGAGGAGCCCATCTTGGCTCACACTCTTTCCTGGTTTTAATTTAGGATTTTCACATGAAAATATTTAAATTTTGTTACGAAAGTAGTTTGATTTACAATATCTAATATACAACACTCATTTATTTTTTAGAGGAGCCAAGCGCAATAGACCTTATTTTGAATGACTGTTGTTGTTGTGTTTGTTGTCGTTTTGTTGTTGCAACAGGTTCATCCGAGCCAGGGAAGTTGAGTTTTTCGGACAATTAAAAAGATGCAGCGCAGTTTGCTTGGGGGCACTTAGGAGCGACGTTCGGCTCTATTCGATTTAAAATGGTGTTGAGGTAGGGGCTGTAGCCGGATCTTATTTGTGCCAGGATGTGCATAGCTGAGTGGAGGGGGTGTGTTAGTTCTGTCTTAGAGATTTCTGGAGTCTTAGTGGGAAAACTTGGTGGAGGGCTTTAGCTGTGACTTTTTTGGACGGGCTTCAGCTATCAGCTCTACGAATATGAAAGTGCTTAGAAGCGTTTTAAAATTCTGATGTACAAAAATACTAAGCTAGTAAAAATCGTTTATTGAGTTGGATGCGTTTGCCCACCAAGTTCTGTTGGAATTCCTCCTCGGTATAATCATTCCTCTTCTATAATTTTTGGAAGTAGTTTTTTGTGGTGGCAGCTGTTGAGATTGGTAAAAATAAATGCAATAGGCATGACGTCAAATAAGTTTTGAGCGTTAATCGAAATGCGGGCAGCTTTTGGCGATTTTCGACAGAGATTTTTGCTCTCTGATGTGGTCAATGGGGCTCTTCTTAGTGCAACCGATCACTCTCCGAAGAGCTGCATTTTGCACTACTTGCAGGTTACTAATGGAGATATCACTAGCCGCGTGCACTCAGGCCGAAGAGCCGTAGCCAAGAACTGGGTTTGTTGAACTTTTATAAGTTACAATGATTCTCATTCGGTTAACTCCAGTTTGTGCCCGACCTTGCCTTTAGGACCGCTATCCTGCACATGGCTTTACTTGCAGTTTGCCTGCTGTGTTCGGTAAAGTTAAGTGCTGCCTGGAAATAGACAGCGAGATTTCTAGGGTGTTTTTCCGTTGTTAAAAGTTGGTTGTGTAAAGTTTGGTGGGGCCCACTACTGCTTCCAGCGGTGCCGCCCTCAAGTGCTGGATTTTTCGAAGAGTGGTTTTAATCTGACGGTCACATCTGTAGTGGGGGCTTGTTTCGGGACCACTGTGACTCGGTATCTGCTGTACTATTAAGACACCATGTGTTCTGGGGACAGCATTTTGCGCTCCCTCAATCTTCCACTTAAATCATCGCGAATAACATACTTGTTTCGAACTCGCTAAGTTTCGGTAATTTAATTTCTTTCAAAGTGAAGTTGCTCTGTTCATAGTTTCTTTTTGATAGTTTGTATTGACCGTTCCACTAACTTACGCTGTCTGTGGCCGCCGGCTGATGCAAAAATATGTTCGACACTTTTCTGGTAACAGAATTGCGCTACTGATTCACTTTTGAACTCTGAACTCGTATCTGTTCTTGTGATTGGTGGAATCCAGTATATCCTTATATAAGACCGAAGAAACCTCCTTAGTTTTTGTTGATTATGAGAAGCGATTGATCGCAATTAAGAGATGTATTTCTTTTCTCGTTTTTAATTTCTTATTGAAACAATGACAGTCCTGGCACTCTCGACACGTTTCTACAATTTGGCGATTGACGAGCGGCCGCCAGATCTACTGGAGACGTCAATTATAGCCTCTTATCCTGTGTAATATCAATGAAAACGTGCCAGAATTGCCGTTCTTAGCTGCTCCGGGTTCTTAACTTGTTGTTCACAATGACACAGTCGCTCACCGCCGCTGCGTTTGTCAGGTTCGCCAGTGACTCGCACGACTAGTGATTGACTATTGGCATCTCGCTGTTGATGGCATACACCCCGTCATTTGTAGCTGCCTTTCAATCACTTATGTTACCAGCGCTGTTGATCGCTGTGCCACGGAACGGTTTCGAGCTGTTCCGATTTCTGATACACTTGATGCACTTATCTGATACACTTATTCAAAGTTCTCGACTGAGATTGACGTTGACTTAACATTTTTCTACAATTTCTCGATTGCAAAACATAAGCTTAAGAATTTTTGACAAAATTTAATTGTTTTTTATTCGGAGGTGTTTTCGTATATAGGTTGGATTGCGAGTTAGAGTTGTCCGTTGCATCATGTAAGAGTATATACACTGAATTCGGTTTGAACTCAGACGCTCAGATGGACCTCTAATTTGTATGTCGTGATCCGATTGACTGGACTCAAACCTTGCGTCACCCTCTCATGGCAATATCTTTCGTCGATTGCTGGAATTTGTTTTGCTGTCACGTTTGATAGTCATTTTACACGTTTCCCCTAGAATGTGGCCATGAGCTGTGATTGGCTGATTCAAGTTTTTCTTGATATCTTTCTTGCTTCGCGGTTTTTTCTTTGATTTCGAGTTTAGTTGGGACCTGCTCGTGAAACTCTTGGCATGTATAAAGTTGATAACATGTTAAAGGCTTAAATTGATTAGTTGATAAACAGATTGTCGTTAGGAGATTTCATCGGTGCTTGACACGTCGGGTAACGAGATATGCCGTCTTTTATTCCCAACGATGTGCCTGGGACATTTTAAACTAAAATTGAATAGAATCAAGCGATCTGCTCACATTGGTACGTCTTATTCCCATGGTCCTCTTTAGATATGTGATAATTGTCTAATGATCTGTGAGTATATCGAATTGAACGCCGAATAAATAAGTTTCGAACCCGAATAATTCTAACTAGTTAGTGCTATATTTTTTTCGGCTATGTTGAGAAATCTAGAGGCAGGCAAATGCGATGGGGGTCCAGATTCAAGGTTCTTTTTATTTGCTGTTCTTAGCATGCCTCAAGTTTACACACAGAGTTTCTGGCAGCGGTGGTGAAATGGTTACGTCTCCGCCTCTCAATCGGAGACGTAACCATTTCATCCCACAAAAATCCGTGCTCGTTCCTTGAGAGTGAAATATCAGTACCCTGCCCAGAAACGTAACCAAAAAAATTGCATGTAGTTCTTAAACAGGGACACAACAGCGGTTCGCTGTGAGGAGCTGTACAGCTCTTGTGTTGGTCCTTTCTCCCGTGGATAAATGGTCTAATCTTAGAAATTTCAAAGAACATATGCTCGGAATGTCAGATATTAGCTCGACGATTTTTTCAAAGGCCCTATATTACGCCTCTCCCCATAAAAGCAAATCCTAGGATTTTTTTTTAACGCGCAATCTAAAAATAACAACCTTCTCGTGTTTTCGTTAAACAATCAAAATTTTGCATGATAGATTCGTAATTTCTGCCAACTAGTTGTTAGATAGCGAAAATGTTCCTTTTTATGAACTAGATTTCCTTGCCAGATACACTTTAGCTTTCTGCGAACCTGTTCGAGCTATCAAACAGGTTTTTGAATTATTTCGAGGTTTTTTGAGCAGCTTGCGCAAAGATGCCTTCGCAAGCCGTTTCAAGCTATCAAAGCTTCATGAAATATATCCAAGTTTCATCGCTTGATTAGCTTGTTAACTGTGTAAATTTGTGAGTGTGATTTGTGATCAGGTGACAATCAAGGATGATAAACTGGTGCGTCAGTGGGGGGATTTGAAGTGGCTGGACAGTAAGAAGGACGGTATCCGCTTCACCAACGACCGAATGCTCAAATTGAGTGCAGATTATTCGGCCAAGGCGAGTGAGTATGAGGAACAGCAGAAAGAGGTGGTGGACAAAGTGCTGGATGTCACCAAGGGGTCAGTGCTATTCATTACTATTACTTCTTCTAGATGCCCTCTGTACAACAGAATATTCTCAGACTTATAAGAACGTGTTTTTTTTGCGCCATAAAACCTGAAAAAGCTATGAATAAGTAAGTCGCTTGATAAAAGGTCATAAAGCCAAACGTAATTCGGACTGCATGGTCTAATGCGCCAAAAGTTATTCAAATTTTTCTACTTGTTTTAAAATTTTTGACGAATGGAAGAGATGTGTTAGGTTGACTATTTTTTATCCAGTTTAACTCATCTCTTCCAGTCGTCAAAAATTAATAAACAAGTAGAAAAAATTGAATAACTTTTGGCTCATTAGACCATGCAGTCTGAATTACGTTTGGCTTCATGACCTTTTATCAATCTTTTATAAAAAAAATAAATAGTCAACCTTTCTCAGGGTGTTTTTTATTACACTTATTCTTTGTATATTCGCTTGCTAGATCAGATATAGTCAAGCTTACTGTCATGACGAATTCAAATATACTCAACAAGTGACTCACTTAATCCTGTCACCTTACTTGCTCATGCGCAAATGCGTAAACAATCAATAATCAGCTTGAGTCAGCTAAATTTCACTCTGATCCATCGGTGTCTCTTCTAGCTTGTATCAATCCTTTCTTCGTCCTTTGTCGATGGACGAAGACTGGCTTGTACTCTCTTTCCCCACTCTCTTCTTCCCTTTCTTAACTCCACTCTCCTGATTGTGGTGAAAATCTTGGTACTTGTAATCAATGCAAGGGATGGGAGTCGAAGTAAGGATTCAGATAAAAATTGGAGGATCATAGATGCCAAGACTACGTTAGTTGGTTGATTTCAGTATGAAGGTGGTTGATGGAGCTCATTTTTGTTCACCTCACTCTTACGACACAGAGAGATGCTTTTTGAACGACTTGCAGTTAGTTCAGGGACGACTTTCTCGCTGCGTGTGACCAAACGGGGTACGAGTATTGTTTTGGTCATATCGTAGTCTTATAAGTCACAAGCGAGGTTTAGTTTGAATGACCCCAGTTTTCACCGGAAAAAGCTTGCATGATAGATATCCTGTTCGTGACTTTTATGGAAGTTTATTTGTATTATTCCCTATAATTGAGAGATAAAAAAATTGTGGTTTTGAGTTTTGCTTGACCCGAAGAACAGAATCCATTTAAATTTAATGAATTATATTTTTATTGTGTGAGCTAAGTAGACTCACTGAACCTTTGATGAGGAGCATTAAGTAGATGCCAGTTCGAGGAGAATTGTATATCTGAGGTGGTTTTAATCAAAAACGGCCAACGATATAGACGATACTAGTTACTCTCAACTTGTCTAAGCCTTCGACATACTGAGTCATCAAACGCTTCTGAAGCTTTACCACGGCTCCGACATACCCGGAGTTACTGTCAGGTGTGTTTCAAAATTCTTTAGTGGGCGTCAAATCAGGACTCTTTTTAGAAAGCCTATATTGACAACCAAACTTGTTCGAACTGGGGTACTTCAAGGTTCAGTTGTATTGACTACGTTTTTTAACTTTTACGTGAAAGATATCCTCAAGGCCTCAAGACTTCAATCTTGAGCTAATGATTTCCACCATTTTGTTCAACCTTCTGACGTTGACGAGGCATCCGCTATTTTAAATGTGAAAAAAATTTTGTGCAAGCGTCAGCAGCGTTTGATGGCTCACCATGTCGAAGGCCTTAGACAAGTTGAGAATAACTAGTATCGTCTACTTCTTTGGCCGTTTTTAAATTAAAACCGCCTGACAAGGCTGTTGAGGTCGAGTGCAAAGGTCGGAAGCTAAATTTGCGGGTGGCCTTGTCAAGTTATTGGTGAGATTGGGGGTAGATTGAGGCATCTAGAAATTAAAAGACCACGGAAAGGATTGATACTAAACAGGAAGAATCTGTCGACTTAAATGCTTTCGGTTGAGTTTGGCTATAAGTACGTGTGTTTGATTTTCTTTTAGTTTGTTTGGCTCAGTATCGACAAAAAATATGAAAAGAAGTTTTGTTCACGTGGTTTTCTACATACCATCGAAAACGCCGGTAAACATGCATTTTGGGCTCGTTTGGTGATTCTGATGGCCAAAAAGTTGAGAATTACAATAAGTAGAGATTATTTGATCCCTTGTCATGGCAAAATTAGTGAACGAGGACCAGCTCTCACTTAACATGTAGCTTCAAGTCTACCACAGATTGACCGATGCAGGGTCCAATAGTGATACCACATGAAAATTCTAGACCCAAGAAGCGTCGCTGAACAAAATAACTCTCTGGATTGTAAAAAGAAGCCATAGAAACGGACTATGCATAGACAGGCCCGATAGCTTATCATAGATCATCTGCTAGAAACCACAATTATTTAGTGTAAAAGAACGAAATGAAATTCAAGCTCAAAGCTGTGTTGATTTTTTGTTTGTTTTTAAAGACTTAAAATGCTTAAATACATACACAATTGCATTCATACATATTACTGCATTTACTGAGGTATATATGCTGTTAGTTATATATAGTTTTTGAGTTCATTTTAAACTCATCTAATGAGAGTTAGGTTAATTGTCATCTCCAATTACGAAATCCGAAATGGCGCGAACAAACGAGAACGACTCTTAGTTTCCGAAGTAGATTGTTAATGTTTTTCCGTTGTGTCAACCCTTGTTTATGAGGCCCTTCCAGTCTTTGAATCTCATAAATGTATCGCTCTTTCTTTCGCAATCGAACACTTTTGAGCTTTTCTTGCTTTTGCGGCTACCATTTGAAAGTCACTGTAAGGCAGCACATTTGATGCATGGAATTGGGAGTAAAATAGCATATGTTTTTGGACTTTTAATGACCAGTGTTGGTTTTCTGAAGGCTCCAGTACCACAGGTATTTACGGCAGATATTACGGCAGGCGTTTAAATCACTTAGAGGTGATATATTTTTCAAATTTCAAAAAAAAATTCTGCCATTTTTTTACCACTTTATAATAGCTTTTTTAGCGTTTTTCGCTTGTGTTTTTGAAGTGCAGCTTGCCTTTATGTTGAAAACGTCAAATAATAAATGGCAGCAATGTGAATAGTTCTTCAGTTTTCCATGCTAATTCGGAAAGTTTTTTGTCTAACTGGTTATTTATTTAAATTGCACTCATGGTTTGGTGGATAATTCACCAGTAACTAAAAGTTAAAAGCATAGAAAAGTCCGGATGATAGGGTTATCTTGCTGACTCCCATCTATTTAAATATGGATTAGGTATCCAGGCAGCAGATTATGTGCTAAAAGAGCGTATATAGATTCCAATATATTGAGGTAGGTTAATTGTGAAGGTTGTATTTAGCTGCACAATGGTGAAAACCTGGTTGGATAATTTAGTTTTTTACGCTTTTTGTAAAGCGCACGTTATCTAAAAGGTACGAGCACATTGGATATCATGTTTTGAGAGTAGCATGAAACAATTTGATTATGGTTTTTGTTTTATGATTTAGGTTGTTGTTGAAGTTGAAACTGAAGTTGCTTTATTGTTGAACCCTAGCAACTTCGAGACTCCTTCCCACTTGGCTAGAGGTAACGCGGTTGTCCATGCAACCTAAGATCTGGTATTCGAGTCCCGGCCTGACCTTGTTTTTTTCTTAGGAAAAATTGAACTGTCGGGTTTCCTTTTTCTGCTTGTTTTGTCGGCTTAGTTACCATGCTCTTATATATTCATATATACATATATGTACATATATACAAATATACATATATACATATTATATATATAAACTAACTCGTAATCATGCATAAATAAATAGAGAGGTATAAGTGATTAGTTTTTTACCTGGTGCACTGAAGTTTACCTGGTGCACTGAAGTTTACTCTGAAAACTACGAAAAACTATAAACAAGACTGCTCGGATCAGAGGAAAGCCCTGATTGTTCCGACTGCCCTTTCAGGTCTATGGAATATTGCTCACTTTAAAAAAATGATGAAATTTTCAATCGTTTTTCCAATGAATTTTTTAATCAATTTTTTTTTATTAGTCGTGAACAGAGTGAATACTCTTATATAAGTCTTAGTGATTTTTTTTTCAGTTTTCTCACGCTCATTTTTGATTTTTCGCGGTTTGACTATTGATTTCATTTTCTATAAGTTCAGTTCATTGCTTTTGTTAAAAGGGAGGCCTATTTCACTGTCGAACAGCAAAAGTCTTAAGGTCACGAAAAACGTGATGGAACTGTAGTTTCGAAAATGGAATTCAGTTTACAGATCTCCCAATGAATTAAAAATTTTATCTATTGATCCAGTTTTTTCACATTGGGTTAATTTTATCAAAAAAAAATTTCAACCATTATTTCTTCTTGAAAGAGCTTTAAGGCCATAGATTATTTTATTTGATTTTCGAAATTTGAAGTATTGTGATAAATATTATAAGTATTGTAAGCAAAGTGATAAATAGACCAGTCTGCTGCCAGAATAGCATGCCTCAGTTCAATTTGGAACGATTGTTTTGACGATCTCCGCTTGCGCGTTTATAGCATGAAATATATCGCGCCTTAATTGTCCCAAATTGGCCAGCTTAAAACCCCCGTAGCTTTACAAAAAAAGATCACATATGAAATATTTTTTCAAATTTTAGCTCAGGACAACAATATCTTTCGAATGATTAAAAAATTCCGTCAAAAATTGTTAGTTAAAAAGTCGACGTTGTCTGGAGAAAAAAACCATCCCGATCAAAAATATGCCTTTCACTTTCTTGGAAAGGCCGAATAATGATACATTGCTTCTTTCATACTATAATTAATACGAAAGAACAAATAATTTCTAATTTACGTTTTCTATTTGTCGTGAAAATCCATTCGTTCAGGGTTTTTGAGTTCAAAGGAAATACTTCGGAAATCTCACCTTGATGGTCAATCGTTTCCGGAGCTCTTCAGTTTATCACAACAGTTATACACCCCGGGAAAAAATTACATTTTGTTCAATTTTAATTGAGACACTTAAGGGGCTTGTCCAGCTTTTGAAAATTCTCCAAAAAAACATCGTGTAATTTGTCCAGAGAGCAATTGAAAGTTGATGTTTCTACTAGTGCGCAGCTCTTGTGCTCGAAGTTTTGCCCTAGTAGCTCAATGCCGCTTTCTAGACTGTGCACTCGATAATTTGTAGGTACCTGGAGCCGTTGTACCGACTGAGTGAAGTGATCGCAGAGTTGGATGTGTTGACTGGGTTCGCTGTGTTCATCAGCACAGCTAAAGGCACTTATGTGCGGCCGCATATTCTTCCAGGGGGCAGGGAGTTGAGAGTGAGTGGACTGCGACACCCCTGCGTGGAGAAAGAGGACAATGTCTACTTCATACCTAACAACCTCACTCTTAAAAGAGACCTCGAGGAGTTCATACTCATCACAGGTAAAAAGCCTGCGGAACAAATCAAGCATTTGTCGTTTTTTTTGCAATTCGTTGAGTAAATGAGTAAAATTTTCTAAGAACACTAAGAATGACTTTTCTTCAGATTGATAAAGGCGCCAAATGAGCTGATGTCATCTTTTGACTTTCTGGTTGAAATTCAATTTCAAAGTAGGTATCATGGCTTGAAACCTTGAATCGAATCATATTTTGATACCACCATTCGTTGGAATTTCTACTTCAACTTAACCTCAGAATTTCTACTTCACTTTAACCTCAATAAAATCTTGATTTTTTCTAAAAATAATGGGAAAGTCATTTGGATGCCAAAACGTGGAGCTTCGAACTGAATTGAGCTGATATCATCTTTATGAGTTTCTGGTTAAACTTCAATCTTCAAAAAAAATGGTATCATGACATGGAATTGTGAACTTAATCATGATTCGATACCACCCTTTGCTCTTATTTTTGATTTGTATCTTCAATTAAGGCTATCCAGATTCAAAAATTTGAAGTTAATCAAGAGCTGATACCACTTTTTGACTACTATCTGAACTTCAACCTTGACTTGAAACTTTGAATCGAATAATGAGTTGATACCGCGACTTGGCTTGGTTTTTAAGAGTAATGAACGTAGTGAAGACTCTTATAAAGGTCTTGCTGATTTTTTATTTTTGTTTTTCAGGAAAAAGTCTTAAAATATTGATGCACTTAAAAAGTGCATATATATATATATACTTGAGTTCAATTGAAATTCATCTACTGAAAGTGACGTAAATAGCACTCTCCAAATACGAACGTTCAAATGGCGCGAAAGTTCGTGAACGATTTTTAGCTTCGAAAGTGGAATTTAATTTTTAGATTTTCAGCGGAATGAAAACTTTACCTGTTGATCCAGTTTTCTCAAGTTGGGTTAATGTTATCAAAAAAGCGCCAGCCATAAGTCGTTCTAGAAATTCAAAGAGCTTTAAGGGCATCTATATTTTCCTTTGAAAGTCGAAAGTTGAGATTTTTTCAACAAAGTCAGTTTTTTTTACGTTTACGTTCATTACTCTGTTCCTATCTTCGATTGGCTAATTTCGTTTTTTAACTTGAATAAGTTTTAGTTTTGTTGATGTTGTTTAACTTCAATAAACGCTATCATGAAATTGAACTATGAGATGATACCATAATTGGGTTTCTTATTGAGTTTATCCTCAGCGAAAGCTACCAGGATTCGCCACTTTGAACCGAATTTTGAGTTGATACCCTCTTTCAATTTGTTGTTGTTTTCAACTTCACTAAAGGTTATCACGAGGTGGATCTTAAAATTGAATTTTTTGATGATGCCTTTTAAGAGTCGGTGAACCTAGTTCAGATTCTCATATAGGTCGATGATGTTTTTCCGTTTTTTTTTTCAGGAAAAGTCTTACAGTTTGTTCAGGCTCTAATTTATTTTTTCGCGATTTGACTTTGGATTTCTTTTCTTGACTCTCCCAAATCACTATAAAAACCCTATTTTGACAGCAGTTTTCTGCGCCGTAGGTAAGTTTTTGAAGAAACAGACCAAAAAAGGTATTGTTAGGCTTTTTATGAAAAATGTTGACCCAAAAATTGCGTTAGTCAGCCAAAAATAAATATCTCCTAAAATAATACAAAGGGGCACCCTTTGGTTCGGCATCGGGTCGAATCTCTGAGGGGGGCCTTAATTCCGCTCCTGGAAAGGAAGGCAAACTCCACTATTGAACTGGAAAAGTGTAAAGGTCACGAAAACGGGATCAGATTCTAGGTTCGAAAATGGAATTTAATTTTTCGATTCCCCAGCAAAAAAAAAGAAAATGTTTCAAATCAATTTCAGTTAATGTTAGAAAAAAGTGTCAGTCAGAAAGTGTTCTTGAAATTCAAAGCTTTAAGGCCATCTTTTTTCTGCTTTGAAATTCAAAAGTTTTTTTTCCAAGTTTTTTTTCTGTTTTCTTGCGTTCATTGATTCTTTTCCATTAGTATTCTGGCTAGGTTTTGAGTTTTAACGTGGCTCCACAAAGCTTAACTTCAAAGTTCCAAGTCCAAAAGTTTATGTGAGAGTTTCGATGTATGTACAAAAGCTTGAATAGATATCCAATAAAAGAAATTTGAGGAAGTTTATCCAGAGATGGCATTTTTAAACATTTCAGTATGTTTTCAAGCTTGAATCTGCTCACAAAAGAGAGATATTATGCAAGATCTCTAAGCGATAAATTTTAAAGTATTTCAGTTAAGTTTTTGACTTGAATCAGATCTATTCGGATTCAAATTTTTCAAACAAGCTAATGAGAAACAAGACGCTTGAAGTTTTTTGAGTTTTTCTTGAATTATTTGGTTCCGAAAATAACAATGCTGATTTAAATTAACCGGACAAAACGATTAAAATTTTGAAATTTCGAACGCGTTTTTCTCAAATTGGGTTATGATTAGACAAAAAGTGAGGGATAAAAAGTTGCTTAGAATTTCACCAGAATGAATATGGTGCAATTGTTTCTTCAAAATTCTCAACTAAATTTTTACCCCAAAATTGGTTGTTTTAGTTTTTTTTTTCAATTGATCAAAAATTACGCTGAAACTGCTCTGGTAGTTGATGAGAATTATATATTGCAAGAAGCCTCTTACACAGCCCAACAAAGTTCTAGAAAGGTTGAATCTCAAAAAACCTGGATAAGAGAAAATATTTTTGCGTGATAGTCAAGAAACGTGATTTTTACTATGTAAAACCCAAAAATTTTGCTCAAAAACAAATTTACTCAAATTTTTGGTGATTCAACTTTTGTAGAACTTTGTTGAGCTGTGTAGGAGGCTGCTTGTGATATATGTTTCTCATCAATTAACAAAGTAGTTTCAGCGTAATTTTTGATCAATTGAAAAAAAAACTAAAATGACCCAATTTTGGGTAAAAATTTGGTTGAGAATTTTGGAGAAAAAATTGTACCATATTAATTCTGGTGAAATTCTAAGCAACCTTTGTTCAGTTCATTTTTTGTTTAATCTTAACCCAATTTGAGAAAAATACGTTTGAAAATGCGAGTTTTTTTCTTTTGTCCGGTTAATTTAAATCAGCACTGTATCAAGGTATAATTTCATTCGAACACCTTGCTGAAAAATGGGCAGCTCTCAAGCTATGTTTTTGTTTTCTTATGACAAAAGAGGGAAGGTTGTTGATCCAGATAGTTCGTTTTTGAAATGAAAAAGTTGGCGTAAAAATCAGAAAAAAAACTACTGTCTAGCCTTGAAGTTTATTTAGGTGGATCTTGTCTGAAGCTTTGAAGTTTAAAACACACGTTAAAACGTTTCAGATTCAGAATACTTTGGTCAAGATGAGCTTAGACTAACTTTTGAAAAGCTGAAACGAGATCGGTAGTCTGTCTGAATCATTGCGCCTTCTGGCAGCTAAACGCGGCATTAATTTCATTCATGGCATCCCAGCTTTCAATATTGACTCACATCAACTTTTGTTCACTGTAGGGCCCAATATGGGAGGCAAGTCGACCTTCATCCGGTCTGTAGGCATAGTTTGTCTCATGGCCCAAGTGGGCTGCTATGTCCCCTGTGACGAAGCCCACCTGTCTGTAGTTGACGCCATCATGGCCAGAATTGGAGCGGGAGACTCCATCGAAAAGGTAATCCCCTTCTCCTTTTGCCCATTTCCTGTTAGGTAAGCGGGGAATTTTAGTCATGATTTTAGGCTCTTTAACTTCGTGGACGGCAACTTAAAATGGAACGCCTCTCACCATTTGTGTTGCGAAAACTAATGGTAATGGTAAAAAAAATTCCCCATTGGACTCAGAATTCAATGATAACCTGTAGCTATCACTCATTTTACAAAAAGTATTGTCTCATGAGCAGGGCCGGATCTTGGATTTTCTCGTGGGGGAGTTGGAGTACTGATTTTCAAAAAAAATTCAAAAATGAGCATAGCCCTCAAGGGGTTCGCCCCCCCCCCCCCCCCCATTGAATCCGCTACTGCTCCTGAGGAATAACACTAGGTTAAATTAACCATAAAAGTGGCTCTCTCTACTGCAATAGCTTTAAAAACAGTGAACATGTACATCTCAAAGAAAACAGTTTTATGTTTAAATTTTCTTTTTAAAGTCAACTCGTGTGTTGAGATGAGGAAAAAAACAGCTTCTGTTCGTCATCTTTTGTCGGCGGAATAGGTTCGTTCAACTCTTTTGTCTAAAACTTATCTCTGCCCTGTCTGCGTTACCTGGCCAAGGAAAACCAAGTCAAAGTCTTGAAGGGATTGGCCCGGATTTCTCGGAGCAGCGTGAGATTCCAGACCAGGGCTTCTATGTTTTTTTTTCATTGAATTTTCTCATTTGTAAATGTTTCCGAGCCTGCCCGATAACAAAACAAACCACAGGCTAATCGAATAGAATAAAGCCCAATGTCGGTGTTAAACTGCATTTGTAGATTCACCATTGAAATTAAAGTTTCAATTTTGCACAGATTAATTTAAACAGAACGTAACTTTTTCTATGTTGCTTAGATAAATTCTACATAAAAAAAACTGTGTTTGAAAGTTTTTAGAATAATTTTTTGTCATACTTAGACTTATCTTTGCGTTTGAAAACAAAGAAAAACTAATTATGGCGCCACACAAAATGGTTTTGATTTTTGGTTCTTTTGTGTGAAAAGTTGAGTCTGGTTATAACTATACAAAAATAATCACATTTTGCAAACGAAAATAGTTTTTCTGAAACTCTTGCTTAAGCCTAACAATGGCTTTGCGGCTACCTAAAATTTTTTCTTTAAGTAATTTTCCTGTAAAATTTGTTGGTTTTGTGGAACAGTTCCTAGCAGGCGTCTAGAACTGTTTATCAAAGTTTTTTTTACACTTGCGATAGCAAGTGTGTTGCAACCGGGTTCAAGACTTTTTCAGCCGTAACCAACTTTGTTCACAGATTCCAGTACACGTGCGTTCTCTTGTGTCCACATGTGTCCGTTCAGCGTTTTATGCTCAATGGTCTACTTCGTTTGTTCAGCGGTCTCTATGTAAGATCAAGTTTCCCTTTTTAGAACTCATTAGATGTTCTCGCCAATAGATAGTGCGCAAAAGTTTAAATTATTTTTCTTGTAATTTTTTTTTCGGTTTCTTTATTTTCGATTTAGTTTTTTTTGGCTGATTTTCAACTTCCATTTACAAGGGCTGGTTGCGTCACGTACTTGAAATTTCTAGGGTGAGAAGGAAAACTATTTCCGATTCAATTTTTATCAAACATTCGATCGATCCGTTTCCGTCTAATCACGTCTGTTTATGTAAGTTTTTTGCAAAAAGTTCACCAAGTGTTTTTTAACAAATAGTGCAGACCTAATTCAAACATAGGCTGCATATAATTTACATATTCAAAATATAAAAAAGGCATTTTTTATCGTTTTTTTCTCAATTTCATTGATTTTGAGTTGCATTTTGTTCGTCGTAGTTGTTTTGTTTGAGAATTTTAAAACCAATCTTTTGAAATTAATTTTGGATATTTAAAACCCTGAGAACCCGAAAATAAGCAAAATTCTACCTAAATGATTTCGGATAGTTATTAGTGCAGTTTCTGTGTGATCCTCTGCACGACAAGGAACATAAAATTGGCACCTCTTAAATGCAAACTGTTTGTAGTATTATCTGTGTTTCAATTTTGCATATTTTAAATGATTTCTGTAATAGTGGTTCAAGAAAATTTGCATAAATATTTAGCGTTAATTTTCATGTTCGTTTTTTTTTTCAATTATTTTTCCTTAAAGTTAATTTAGGGAATGTTTCGTAGTTACCGTACGTGTTGAAAGATCGAATAGACTACGGTTTTTTCGTGTTTTTGGTCTTTTAGCTGCCTGATGAAGCGCACGTTGATGACGCGCTTCGCTTCTATGTTTAACTTGGTTGGTCCCTGCCACGGTTTCACTGGTCTTTTTTAATTCACGATACGTCCGATGTTTCCTCATGGCTATGTAACTAGGATACTCTTATTTTCTTTTTAGGAATGGTTTATTACTGAAGAGTCGAGGCTAGAGAGCGATCAACTGAATTCTGGTTTTTCTGTTGTTAGTTGCGTACAGGGTACACATAATGCGAACTTGGCCCGAGTCTTAGGAACATTGCTACCTCGGTTGGTGGAGGGTAATTTGGGGGTACGGACAGTGGGGACTGTTCGAGGGGACATTGGGGTCTATTTTATTCACATAGTTATTTAAAAACGCCGATTGCCGGCTGAGCTGCGCTAACGTGCTCCTAATTGAGCAAGGGAGCAGTTCATCAGTCGATTATTCAAAACGAAGTTGCCTTGGTCAGTGTTATCGTTAAAAAGGGCTTAAGCTTTTGCTCTCGAAAATTGTCTGGTCAATTTGTTTTTTTTTTCAATTTCAAAATTAAGTTTGATTTGTCTAGGAGAGAAAGGGAGTTGGTATGCTAAAATTGAAGAAGATAGAATTGATTGGACAGGAATTTATGGTTCTCTTGCACAAAAAAAACTTTTTTCTCTCAGTGTGTAAGTCATCTATGTGGCTAATTTTCGTGCACCCGGTTACGAAACGGAGAACTGCATTTTGAACGACAATTAAGTCGGCTTGCAGGACTAGCTTACATCGACCAAACTGGGCATGAGTAACCGAGTGTTGATCTGATTAAAGCTTTAAACGTTACTTACAAATTTTCCTATGATTCTACCGTCCTCAATTCGTCGCGGAAAGAGGCTTCAGGACCGATATCCAGGGCGCTGACCGATGCCCTTTGGTTGCCTATCACAGTGAACCATTTTCGCACAGAAAGAGCGAACCACTTTCCAGATGTACTGAACAACTGGCGGTGACAATGTCTGGAGGAAGTCTCCTCAATGTTTTCTTTGCTCTTAGCAGTTAGTTTTTGTTTTTCGGCGTTTAAGCAACTTAGTTTTGGGTTAATACGATTTGTAAGTCAAATTTGATATCTCTCCGCTGCCAGGGATCCTTCTGGAGAGATATCAGGTATGAAGAAACGGTGGCGCTAAAATCCACGGAGACGAGCGGCCGTTAAAATCGTGTCACGTTATTGTTTCTCCGCTATGACTACACAATGAGGATGTGGCAGCTATTCTACCTGTTCTTTTCCTTCACTAAAATCGGTCTGACTAGTTAATTAGGAAAAATCAGCTTTGGATTACGATTGGTTAGTAATCATTACTGTACACTAACTATAAAGTAAAGAGCGAGAAGCCAAAAAAGATAGCTTGGCGAACAGACGGTGTAGTTAAATCAATTTTACTCAGAGACAAGGATCAAGACCCATCTAGTTTTGCTTTGTTGAGATATCATTGATTTTGTTATAAAAGTGGCGTACAAGTGTGATAGATAAATTGTGGCTAATTCTGATCAAACCTAAAAGTGAAAAGTATGAAATCTGTTAGAATTTCAATAAAAAAGGAAATATACTAATGAAGAATAGGAAATATGTTAAAGCCGAGTGTTTGAAGCTGAGTTTCTTTGATCGCATATTTTTGCATTTTCTTCAACTTTATCCTTTTTTTAATTTTCAAAGTTTTTTGCCGTTTTTTGCTGTTATTGTCCACCATTTTGTTAGGCAGCCGTGCCGCAATTATGCGTATCGATGATTGTAAGTAAGGTGATCTTTTTTTTTGTTCCAACAATTTGAAAAATGTGGCTGAACTTTTGTATTCAGGTGTTTTAGTTATTTTTTAACGCAAAATCATACACCATAAATAATCATCGGAACGGGACGAGTTTTATATTGTATTAAATCCCTTTCAATCGTGATTCGAACGACGTTTAAAAATATCTCAGTATTGAGAAAAACCAGTTTGAAATTTTGGTCTAATTTTGAGCTAATAAGGCTCGTCAAAGTGAGCCTTGCAGGCTTACAATAGCTTATTTAAGCTTCGTTTAATTTAAGCCATAAAATCTTAGTTTTATTCGAGTAATTTTAGTTTTTGAAATTTTTTAGCGCCATTTTGGAAACAAAAACTTGAAAATTCTCAAGTTTTCTGCAAAAAAAAGAAAATTTCTTGAACTTTTTTTACAACTGATTTTTCGAGTCATTTTTCTACAGAAATTGTTTTCCAATAGATTTGTTTGACTATGACTGTCGCATATACCTAATTTTTTTTTTCATTCAGATCTTACTCTCACACCACACAGAAAAAAAACAACACTTATTTGATAAAAAATATTGTATTTTTTTAAGACTGTGGTCGGAACATTCTGTGCTATTTGCACAGTATCCGGCTGTCCTTATTTCAAATATAGATAACTATATTCAATCAAAATGATTCAATTTCTTGCGCATATCTGCTCTAGGGCGTGTCCACTTTCATGGCGGAGATGGTGGAGACTAATGTGATTCTTAACACAGCCACGGAGAACAGTCTGGTCATTATTGACGAACTCGGAAGAGGCACTTCGACGTTTGATGGATTCGGACTGGCCATGGCCATATCTGAACACATACTCACCAGGCACCACCTCCACCTCCTCTCGTACAGTCTGACAGCTGCTAAGATAAATATGAGGGGAGAAGGACATTTTTTTTCGAATCAATTAATGTGCCATTGGAGCCTTTCAAAATCTACTTCTAGTTTAGTCTGATTCATGTATTGTGAGCATATAATGTTTAAGAAGTGCTAGACTATGAAAAGCTGTTTTCACGCAAAAAAATGGATCTTTATTTAATTTTGACGCGATGAAAGCTAAAAACTTTTCGATTAACTTTTTTTGTTTTTCATCGAACCAGCGTCAAAATAAAAATATTGTTGGAGAAAATCCATTAGAATTCATCAGTAATTTTAATTGAAATGGAGAAGAACTTGGTGTGCAGCATCCCCTCCTGAAGAAAATATATCTATCCTCTGCTACCCTTACCCCTTTGAGAAGTGGTGCCTGGGTGTGAGCAGAATAAAACCGTTCGCCCTGTTCGCCACTCACTTTCACGAACTGACTGCTTTGGCCAACAAGTATGATACGGTGAAGAACTACCACTTCACTGCCTCTGTGGAGAACAATGAAGTGATCATGATGTACAAAATGAATCCAGGTAACTTTTTTTCCCCATAAATTGGAAAGAAGACATTTCGTGCTAACCCTTTACTATATTTTTTTCCGATGAATAACGTTTGAAAACATGTATGGTTCAGTTATTCGTACATGCCTCTCACGCGTCTCGTTATTCGTACATGCCTCTCACGTGTCTCGTTATTCGTACATGCCTCTCACGTGTCTCGTTATTCGTACATGCCTCTCACGTATCTCGTTATTCGTACATGCATCTCAGATCGGATCATGTGTTTTTTTCCGGTTCGGTTTAGCCCTGTTCATTGCTTGGTTGATGTTACTTTGAGATGGGAGTTTCAGACTTAAACCTCATTCCGCCGCAACTGGATTACAAACATCAATACAATTGAAATAATTTCGCTTAATTAAATTACCCGTTAGATTGGATCAACATTCTAGTTTCAGACAAAAAATGAGCAAAAGGTTATGAGTCTGCTTTGAAATGATGCAGGTAAGGAATGCTGCATTACATCAAGAAGGCGTTATGTTAGCAACAAAATGATTTTCACAAAGTTATTATCAAATCCAGTTGCATTAATCCGCAAACAATTTTTTTGGGTGCAACGTTGGAGTACCTCATTAGCCGGATAAGGTAGTTATTTACACTTGATGTACTAATGAGTCATTCCTTAATCTTGTTGGCCATGTCAAGTCCATCTAATGCAGTAATCTAATTTGTGCACTTCAATAAATTCACTTAAAGCATCAAGGTCACACTGACAGGTTACGAGCGAAGCGTTGTCTCACTTCGAACGTGTTCTTTTGTCGTTAGACCTAGGTTATAATTGAGTTACTAATTTGTGTGTGTGTGTGATTCAATTTATCCCTTTTCAATTTCGATTACTGGTTTCAGGTACCCTTTCCATTTAGCGAGATTCCCTTAGCCTTTCACATGAGGATTCCAAGTTTCGGTTTTTAGGATACGCTCCTTAAAACTCTAGTCACACGGCGCAGCCAGCAAAGGAAAAAACACCTTTCGGAGTCGACGCGTTCTGGGAAAGAAACCTACACCGGAACGCCCAGTGAAATGGGAAAAATGGAAGCAACTCTTAACACTGGCAAGCACTGGCAAAAAGAGTTTGGATCTGGAAGATCTGCTACAAGAAAAATCAACGGAAGTCGTGCTCCCAAACATACTGTTCGAAGAAAGGAACCACGCACATCTAGCACAACAATCTATTGGAGCGCGAAAAGTCCGTATTTTTGCACTGGTAAATAGGTGGAAAACGAATGTCAACGAGTGAGAAAAATCGGGGTCACAATCAATAATACCCCTTGGAGTATAGTAGACAGACGGGTAAAACGCACATCTTCCTTCCTGTCAATGGGAGAGGAAGGCAGTCGGAAATTTCAAAGCAACTATGCAAATGTCGAAATCACGGAACAGTGTGACATTCATGGGATTGTGGGAAATAATGGAGGATACATTCAAATCGCATCGGAACATGGCTTTCGGTGTCTTCACTCTCCTCCAGAAATCAAGCCCTGAACGAATCCTGCAAAATATTCCATGCGACTCTCAGAGACATAGCTCAAGTGCGCCACTTGAGGACTTCGAGGAGCGTTGTGTACGTGACCTTTTCACTCTCGACCTGGCAGATAGTGATGTTCATAAGGAGCTTTCGAAAGAGATTAATCTAAGAAAGAACCGGCAATTAGTCTTGAAAAACGAGAAGCCAGCAAGCAAAAGATCCAAGACACAAATGGCCGCTTATCCGGGAAATTGCTACACAAAGGGTGAGAAATCTCGTTTAGGACAATAAACAGAATCAAAACAGTCCCAGACAACCAGAAAGTCGAGGGACAAACAGAGGAAAAAGTCAGCGATCCGAGATGACAAATCCTTGCGGTAGATGTGGGTTGTAATGGTCTGACCACAAAGCTTGTTCCGCAATCGGGAAACCCTGTAGCAATTCCGGCGAGAGACTAATTTTACCGAACCGCTTTAAAGAAAGTACGAGCTCTGAATAGAAAAGATAGAGATGCTCTGTACGCAGACACATGCGATAAAACTGACCATCTACGGGTTCAAACAGATACGAAAAAGACGCCCAAACTGAGTTCTTCGTTAAAGATCGTTCAAAAATGTGTAGAATAGTTTGATGTGATGTGTTGTTAGACAATAATTTTACAGTTTTTCTCGACTTAGGTCTTTGACATGTGTCTTGATTGTCGAGACTTACCAAATCATTTCAATTTTTTCATCCTTCTGGTCATAAAATGTTTTTGGTTACCGGTCCGTTTTTCTGAATCAGTGTTAATGAAAAAAAGACGTTTTTGAAGCGTTTCAATTAAAGTTATAGGGTTAAGGATGACTATTGTCGGAGTTAAATAGACCAGTTTGAACAGTTTTCAAATTTTTTTACCCAGCTTTTTATGAATATTTTTGGAAAAGTTCTGGGTATAAAAGTTCTGAGCCGTAAATTTCATTCACACTTGTCGCTTTTGTTACAGGATATTGTGATAGTAGTTTTGGGATCCACGTGGCAAAGATGGTGAAGTTCCCCGAGGATGTGTTGGAGGAGGCAGAGCGGAAGGCGCAGGAGTTGGAGTGGCCCCCCTTCTCACCAGAGGACGACAGGATCATGCACGAGTTCATGCAAAGAGTGGAGGCAGTTGCGCAGGCAGACCACGAGGACCACGAAAGAACTCATTTGGAAGGGGGGCATGATTTGGAACAGCACAAGATAGACACGATAAGAGAAATGTACCAACATTTGATGCAGCAGCACCCAAACTCACAAGTCGCACAACTTGTTCGAAACATGTTCTGCAAAGCATAACTAAAGAGACTTAAACAACTAGTAAGACACTGTTCAGTGACTACGGCAACCACCCTCCACCTTTGTTTTGCTAAATTTCGTCCCTTGTTATTTCGCCTTAAGTTTTTGAATTAATTCCGACCCTCTGCCGCCCTTTCGAAATTTTGTATGTAATTTCGAGGTTTCATATCACAAATTTACGTTTCGATGATCACCACTTTACCACCAGATCCTTTAGGATTTGATCTTTTGCCCCCAGTTTGGTTGATTTGCTGATTTTGTTTAAATTTCTACAGCAGGCAGGTGAAGGTTAATTTGTCGACAAAAAGGTTGTCGACAAATTTGTCGACTTTGATTTTTCTCCATCGGGATTTTGGTTGCCCTAGCAATGACATATTGGTGATTTATTATAATAGGTGGCAGCTTTGAAGTTCATTAGAATTGATGCATGCAAATCAAACTCAATTTAATAGCCGCAAACAAATGTTACGTTTTAATTTTTTTTTCGCAAAATATTAAGAGTAATGAACGTGATTAGTACTCTTATATAGGTCTTGCTAATTTTTTTTTTATCAGTAAACAGTCTTAAAATTTTTTCACGCTCAATTCAATTTTTTCGCGGTTCGACTTAAGTTTTTTTATAAGTTCAGTGCATTTCCATTTTTAAAAGGAGGGCAAACTCCACTATCGAACAGCAAAAGTGTAAAGGTCTTGAAAAACGTGATCGAATTTTAATTATCAGATTTCCCAGAGAAATAAAAGTTTTACCAATGATCCTGTTTTCTTGAATTTGGGTAACTTTAGCAAAAAAGTGTCCCTCCTAAATTGTTCTACAAATTCGAGCTTTAAGGCCATCTATTTTTAGTTTTTAGAATTTCAAGTCTTAGAAAAGTTGAAAGTCAGTTTTTTTTTTTCAGTTTACTTGCGTTCATTACTCTTTTTCAACTGTCAGTTGGCTATGTTTTGTTGATTAGAAGACTAATATCATTAATTATTTAAATTATTTTTTATGCTCGCTGGAGAAAATGCTAAACTGCCACTTGTTATGTCTCACCGACACTTTCATGCGTTTGTTTTTTGAAGCTACAGTGCTGATTTAAACTATACGGACAAAATGAACAAAACTTGAATTTTCAAACACGTTTTTCTTAATTTGGGTCAAGATTAGACAAAAAGTGAACAGAATAGAAGTTGCTTAGAATTTCATCAGAATTATTATCGTTCAAGCAAATCTCCGAAATTCTCAACCAAAATTTTATCCCAAAAATGGGTCATTTTGGCTTTTTTTAATTAATTAAGAATTACACAGGAACTACTTTGTTAATTGATGAGAAATATATATTGCAAGAAGCCTCTTACGCAGCCCAACAAAGTTCTAGAGGGTGAAATCTCCAACAACCCGTATAAGAGAAAATATTTTTACTTGATTGTCAAGAAATGTGCTTTTTACTATATAAAACTCAAAATCGATGCTTAAAAACAAATTAAACAATCTACTCCAATTTCTGGAGATTTAACTCTCTAGAACTATGTTGGGCTGTGTAAGAGGCTTATTTTGATATATATTTCTCATCAATTAACAAAGTAGTTTCTGCGTAATTCTTGATTAATTGAAAAAAAAAGCCAAAATGACCCATTTCTGGGATAAATATTTGGTTGAGAATTTCGGAGAAAAAATTGCACGATAATAACTCTGATGAAATTCTAAGCAACTTTTCTTCTGTTCACGTTTTGTTTAATCGTAACCCAAATTAAGAAAAACGCGTTTGAAAATTCAAGTTTTGTCCGGATAATTTAAATCAGCGCTGTAGTGCACAAACCCATTGCCATGAAACTGAATCTGCCGTATTGTTTCGCTTTTTCTGATTTGCTGATGTGTTGAATTAATTAAGCTTGAATTTTCAATTTAGTTTGTTTTTGTGCAAGAAACTAGAGGGCTCACATAGAATCAATAAATGTTTCTGAAGGAAGTGACTTAAGCGCACTTTCTATCTTCCTTCAATTAATGTTTTGTAGGCGTTGTTACGATATACTTAATGTAGTACAAAATTACATTGTCGCTATAATTAATCTTATGTTTACTTTTGTGTTGCATTCCATTGGCGAGTGGTTTAAATCAGGGGCGTACCTAGGATTTTCTCGAGCGGAGGGGGTATTTTCAAAAAAAATTAAAACATTTTGAAGATCTGTTTTATAAGTTGACCAAGTTGATATTTTGAGCTCTCCTAAATTTTTTATAGAGGCCCTATTTTGGCCAAATTTTCGGCGCAGAAAAAAAAACAAGACAAAAAAAATCATTTTAGGCGCTTTAATAAGTTCCAAAAATTGCGTTTTTTTCGGCCAGCGTTCCACCCTGAAAATTATTAGTATAAGTTGGCCCCTTAGAAAAATGTTAGGGTCGGGCTTCCAAAAATGAAAGTGTTATATTACTACCAATTGGGCGACCCTTTGGGTCGGCATGGTGTCGAATCCCAGAAAAAAAGAAAACGCAACAACCCCCCCCCCCCCCCCCCCCCCAATTCAATTTATGTGTGTTACTTAGGCGTATATTAAAATCAATTCAGAGGTTGGCCATCATTTGCGCGAATACAGGACAGTGCGATGGACATAACCCCGAACGAAGTATAAGCATCTTATCACATTACAGAAAGTTCCGATAACGCAAAATCACTAGAGTTAGCTGCCTTATTCTGAAGAGCTGACCTCCGAATGTTTAAAAATCGTACACCTCCCGTCTCTGCTTAGACAGAAATAACTTCAAACTTTAATTTGTATTGAAGCTAATAAATAGTAAATGCTGAAGGGGGTGCATTGAAGATCCCATATATTGAGATAAGCTCTATGCTGGAGAAAAAAGTAACGCAATTAGTTGTTAACTGAAAAAATAAATTTCATAAAGCTAAATCAATTTCAGATTTATTTTGGGTAGTAGCTATTATTTGGCTTCAGTTGAGGCGATTGCTTGTCCCAAAAATAAACGTGTTCTGGTACAAAAAGTAAAAAAACGTAAAGCACTATTTTCATTTCTAAAAAGCTACTTTTAACGTTTCGGTTTGGAGCTCTAAGTTTCGCTTTTTCACATTTTTTAATACAGCGCTTAAAAACTTATCTCAGACTTACAAATTACCAAAACCCAATGAAAGTTTTCCCTACTCATTTCTTGAATCTGGTTTAAAAAGTCCAAACTTCTGTCATCTGAATCAGTTTTTCATTTTTTTTATCAAACAGTTTTAGTTATGGTCAAACTTGTTCTTTCTTTTTGCACACCTATTGAAAAATTTCCAGGTTTAAACGTTTTAGGGAAATTCGAAAAATATAAACTGTTTGGTTGCGTTACTTTCTTTCTCCAGTATAGCTTTCCAGGTTGGGTCACAAAATAGGGTATAGAGTTTGCAATGCATTAAGGTAAACAGTAGAATTGGCAAGGCTTAAGATGAGAATTGGTTAAACTTTCATGATAAGAAAATTTTTTCACATCCTGATAATATTTTACACTCTAAACTTGATATATCACTACTTTTTAACAATTGGATAAAATTCACGATATTTTTTTTAAAAAAATTTTGTAATGTGAGATACATTGTTTGGATTCGTTTAAAGAATCGCTGAAGTAAGGAATTGTTTGATAACTTCATTACCCTTTGCTGCAAAGATACTACTCATCTGAATGTACGTTGCTTTTTCGTACACTTTAAGGCAGATGGCAAGCGTCTGATCCCTAAGTGACATTTTGCCAGAATTGAGTTCCAATGTAGAAACCATTACCAATTTTGAGCGTTTTTAATGCCGTTTTCCCAATTGCCAAGATTACTTCTTTTTCACCACGATAGATTTAATGATGCTTCTTGATTCTACAAAGCCTAATGTAGCGACAAACAGTTGTTTAATAAAGAATGAACTAATGAGATTTGAGTCATAACTCTAGTAGTATTTCAGATCAATTCCAAATGGTAAATCACTTGAAAAGTTTCTCGAATTTATAACTCAAGGTCGTGTTCAGCAGCTACTTTCAAAAACAATCGGAAAGTGATCTTTCAGAACGAACCGAATAAGAAATATCAATTCCAGTTCGGTTAGAAAAATTCACCAAAACGCCCCATATAAAATTAGGTAGCTCCTAGTAAAAAGTCGATTGCTTTAAGTAGCTTGGTTGTCAACGAACACTTCCGAATACCTAATAGATATTATGCCTAAGTTGGTAAGTATGCCCTGTAAATAACTCCTTTTTTCTATGAGAGCATTGTGTTCTGCTTCGGCTCCTGAAGTTAGTACACACCGCTGGAGTCTGCTAGCCTGAAGTTAGTACACACTGAGCTTGAAACAGTATCCCGAAGTACTTCTATTATCTATGTTTCCGACCCTGTCCGCATCAGAATGGCAAAGGAGATTTAATGTCTAATCTCTACTACAGACGCAAGATTAACTTTTTGTTCCTAGCTGATAACCTAGCAATTTTTTCCAGCTTTTCCATGCTTTTCACCCGGGTCATCCACAAAAGAAATTATAAGACTTGTTGCAAAGCAAATGTCTGAATTATTTGATAAATTAAATAATTTAGACAACCAAAAAGACATCGATAGTCTCATGTCTTCTTATTGTCCGGTTTTATGCTACCCTGTAAACGAATTCTCTCCAGTCTTTATCATTCATTTAGAGGTATTTTTATAGCTTTTGCTTCAGTCCTCTTCAATTTTGATAATTTTTTTCAATGTTCTCCATATGACTGATCCTAACTTTGTCTTCTGAGTATTCATTTTCTACTGAAACTTTTTTTAAAGCCCACTTGTCTTGTTTGTCTTTTGAAATTTGTTTTTTTTTAAAAACCAGCTACAGATTTTTGCCGCTCCACAAGCCACTATACCATCTACCAACAAGCAAGTTAAACCTATCTTTCCTTTTTTTCTTAAAAAACAAGCAACCATCAAAGACTGAATTTTCAAGACCTACCTCCTCAAGGTAGCCTTTTAAAGTCCCGCGCCAATTTTTACTGGACTGCTTCAACCCATTAAGTGTTTTCTACAGAAGACACAACTAAAAGTTTTCCTTCACTTCAAACTGCTCGAAACCCTCAGGCAGCTTCATCGAGATTTCTGCATTA